CAACTTCTACTGAACATATTACTGGAAGTTCTAGCCAGAACCATTAGATAAAAGTAAATAAAAGGCATGCAAAGTTAGGAAAAAAGTAAAATGATCTCTGTTTTATATATATCATATATAATGCATAACATACAATATTTATATATCTCACTAAAGATTCCACAAAAATACCATGTTAGAATAAATTATTTTATTGGAATGGTTAGATACAAAGTCAATACACAAAAATCATTGCATTTCTATACACTAACAAAGAACAATCTGAAAGAACATTAATTTTGGTATGGTCTTTGTTATAGTTTGGAATGTCCCCCAAAAATTATGTGTTGAAAGCTTGGCCTCCAGTTGATGGAGTTATTGAAACTTTGTGGAAATGCTAGGAGGTGAAGCTCATGGTCTGCCATAAGGTAAGTTGCTTTGGCCCACCACATACCCCGGACAAGATGTTTTGCCTCATCACTGGCCCAGAAGCAATCGAACCAAGGGGTCATGAATATGACCCAAGGGGACTGAATCTTCTGAAACAATAAGCCAAAACACATCTTTCCTCCTTAAGTGGATTTTTCTTGGGTATTTTGTCACAGACATAAAACTGACTAGCACAGGTCTGAATGTTTGTGTGCCCCTAACATTTGTATGATAAAATTGCAGCCCCAGAGCAGTGGTGTTGGAAAGTGGGTATCTGCACCATCATGAGAGAAAACCCTACGTGAATAGGATCAGGACTCTTGTAAAAGAGGAGTGGAAGAGCTTTTATTTTTCATTCATGAGTCTGCTTGTTCAATCCAGAAATTTGTAGTAGGGATAACTGCAAGAGTCAAGGGAGCGGTAATCAGGTGAACAGGGCCAGTAGTTTTCTCTCCAATTTAACTCAGACATAAATATAGCTCACCACTAAGTTAATAGTGAATTTCACGTGGCTAAGTTAACATATCCAAGTTTTTGTTGCTGATGTTGTTTTTGTCTATGTCAGAATACAGTATGTAGAGTCCAGTTCACTTTTTGGCTATTTGATTCTAGGCAAGATAATTACCTTTTCCGAACCTACAATGTTACCATCAATAAGAGGGGCCAACTGAGAATTCTCACAATAGTGAGAATTAAATAAGAATATAATAAATGTGGCACATTTAACCTAATATTTCACCTATAGCAAATTATCAGAGAATAGTACCTGTTACTATTTTTAACTCTATGTCTTCCTTCAGTTTTTCTTTTTATGCAATGGGAATGATTAAACATATCTCTATTTGTGGTGAAAGTATTTATTTAAAATAGCATCTATAGTTATAATATCCTTGGACAAATACAATTATAGGCAATGCTATTAACAAACTAATGGTATGTCCAATGTTTGGCATTTTAATGGATTGCTCTCGATGGAGAATCAACATTTTGAGTTAAAAAGTTGGTTATATGCACCCCCAATGCATTTAGCTTTAAACTGTAATAGTTAATCTTCTGAAACAGGAACAAACATAACAGCAAGCATTAAAACAAAAACGATGAAAAAAATTTAAAATTGAAATACACTTCTTTGATCCTTCAAAGAAAGATTTATTAAGCAACAGCAATATTGTTATTGTGATAGAAGCAATGATGACTGAATGATCATTTACTATTCTGCAGGAACTCAGAGTGTAGTGAATAGGGAGAGATATGTACAGATGTGATTTATAATGCAACATGGGAGTGCTTCTACAGAGACATGTGCAATAATGCTTTCGTGACAAAGGATAGAACAATTAACTCCACCTGAGCCTCTCTGGGAAGGTGTCCTTAAAGAGGAGATGTATAAGAAGTATGATGAAGATGGAAGAGAAGAGCCTAAACAAAAGCTGATATGGAGGGAGAGTAGGTCATCCAAGAGGAAGGAGTGGTATGAAAAAGTTGCATAGAGTTGAGAAAGGATCTGACATGAGAAATAGCAAGAGATCCATGTAATCAGGGGAAAGACTGCACGAGAATGAGAGGAAGAAGTGTTAGGAGCAGATTTTGAACTGCTCTGAGGATCAGTTAAACATCTGCATTTTGTCTTAAAGATTTTGGAAAACCAGTCTGGTTTTATAAGCAGGGAGTGATAGCATTGCATTTGTAGCAAATCATGTTAAAGTTAACATTATTCATTTCCACTGACCCTGTGTTGCAAAGCTGTAGCTAATGATGCTCCCAGAGTAGAGTGGGGGTGAAAGGATGCAAGCTTGCTCCATCCCCCATCTTTACCAAGGTTGGCATTTGCGGTTTCTCCTGCTCAGAAAGGCAGAGAGCATATTTGGAGAAGGTAGCTGCATATATCATTTTCCATTGTTCTCATTTTTGTACCCAATGTTTTAATATTATTAAATTGGGTTCTACAGAGGAAGTGAAAATTGCTACAATCCTCAGAGGTAATTCAAATAACTCACATTTTCCTCTGAGAACTGAGAATTCTCAAAACATTCCCTCTATTGCTGAGAAGTCCAAAGGGATGTGTGCTCATATAGTTTTTTATGCATGTTCCTTAGTTGTATGTAAAAAGGTACCATGAAGCGCTTCCATAGGACATCCTAACAGACAAGACGAAGAAATAAATTTACAGAAATGTACAAAGCAAAACATTAGAATTCTAAATCCAAAGAAGATATCAAAATCCTCCCATCCCACTAGATTCATTTTAATATCTTTAATATGGAATCACACATCATCTCTCCTTTTTTTTGTCTATGAATAAGCTACCTCATGGGAAACTACACTGCATTTCAGAAATTTAAACCGAATAAGGATGCTTGGTTTCCATGTCAACCATGCCAACTTTTTTTCTCTTTCTCATACATTTATTATTGATTTAAGCAACAATATTTATTGAGTGTCCCAAATATTTACTGTGTGCAAGTACTAGTGGGAGAGCCAGGAAGATCAAAATAGATCTCTGTCCTCATTGAGTTTCAAGTCTGGTGGCGGAAATAAATGTTAAACACTGACACAAAAGTGCAGTGAGAGTGGTCCAGAGGCCAGCTGAGACTTTCCTGTCCACCAAGAGGGATTGGAGGGAAGCCCCAGTGCATGCCTTGGATGGTCAGAAGCTCTGTTCCAGGGGCTTCTCTGCCTCATGATCTCTCTTCTTGTAAACTTACTCTCTCTGACAAAGCAGCCTCTGTTCTTTCTCTCATTGCAAGAAAGCACTGACATATCCTTTCTCAAGTGTCCATGAGACACTCATTCACATGTATGTGGCCAACTTCAATGAAATTTTAATGGTTATGGGGATAATCCACAGTAAAGCTACACAGCAAATGAATGTGACAACGTATTTGTATATTCATGTTTTATTTATGTTTTTATTTTTGTGCAATATTGGAAATTGAACCCAAGGCCTTTGCACTAAGTTACAGACTCAGCCCACTTTTTATTTTGAAATGGTGTCACTAAATTGCCTAGGCTGAGCTCAGACTCGAGATGTCCCTGGAGTGCTGGGCTTACAGTATACATCACCACACTTGCCAGTATTCATGGTTTTAAAAGTCCATTCAAGCATTTCCCTTCACACTGGACATTCATCTCCCTTCCCTACCATTCTTCCACTATTCCTTCCCTCTTCCACGTCTTTCCTCTCTTTTTTCTTTGCTTCCCTTTCCATCATTGCACAGAAGCAATCCAACAACCAAGCAACCACAACAGTCTCTTTCCAGTACATGAATCCCTCTTGTTCTTTCATGAGTCTTGGCCAGCTTTCTGTCCCTTGCTCACACAATTACATCTTCTATCTACTCCAAATGGTTTGTTACCATAGATCAAGGCTCAGGTATCATATTCACCAAAGACATTCTCTATCCTAAGAGAAGTTGCATTGGCATCTGTTAAGAGAGCCATGTTAGTTTGGATATATGACAAACTATGATGCCTTTCTTCACAGAAAAATAGGAGGCAACAACAGAGTACAATATTTATAAACTGTGTTTAAACTGAGAAATGAGTGCAGTAAAACTTCTGAGAGAAAGTGTAGCATTTCTGGAAACTGTTAGCTGGGCACTAAGAGTGGGAGAAGAGCACATAAAAAAGGTCTTGAGATGGGAAGGAGTTTGGAGTACCAGAAAAACTGAAAAAGGACAGCATGGCTAGATCCTAAAGAACAAGAGGAGATGGCTGGGGATGAGGGTGAAGAGATAAGCTAAGGCCCAATCATATGGGACCTTGTGGGTCACATGACTGATTTTTAAGTTCCTCACTCTGCCTAACAAATGAAATGACATCACGAATGCTTTTTTTTCTAAATTTTGAATTTATTGTTTTTCTTAAACAGAAACATTCATGCTAAAGCTGGCAAACTTGAACAGACACACAATCGCACACACACACTTGCACACCCACACGTAAATGATACATAGAGCAACTTCCTCCAGGGCCATGTAATTTGGTGTTATTAAAAAATCTATCATGTACCCATGCCCATGTTTCAGAGTCAGCTGGGCAATTAGCTGAAAATTAACTCCGTATTTATTTTCCTGCCACGGAAGTGTTTCCTGAGAAGCCTGGAATATGAGGGATTCTGTAAGAGCTTAAAAAAAATGTTGCCTGCCAGCAGTACATGAACTTTCTCTCCATTTTCAGCCTTTACATCAGTCCAGCTGACACATCCACTCCCCGCTGAAGAGCAAGTAGCTTCTTGCTTTGCACAATGCTTTCGTATTGGCAAAGCAGGGCAAGAAGGAGTCTAAATTCTGTTTACCACCAAGGCAAACAGCTCTTTCAGCTGCATTCTTGAAGAAAAGCACCTATGGTGTTCCATATGTCGCCAGGTATTGGCAGTCACAGGTACTCAAAATGACATCCACACCCTTTGTAGACATTGTGTCCACTGCTTACTGTCAATGTACACCTGGTCCTTAGCACTTTACCCATCACAGTGCAGTCGTGTATCTATGATGATGTACATTCTGTTCTTTTGGAGAAATAAATTATTTTGTTTGCTCACCCAACCTTACCTATGCCAACCCACCTTACTTTTCAACTACTAATACCCATACCTTTTAAGCTGTCTTTTTATTGAAAGTAATAAATTAAGACATTCATCATGAGGTGTTTTCATTTTTGCCTGAGAAACACCAGCAGATACACTGGCATGCTCACAGTGTTGTGCATACAAGAATTCATTTCAGCAGCGGTAGTGTTCACTGACCTTAGGAAGAAAACTTTCTGTTCACCATAACTCATAAGTCTTATACAAGCGTAACTTTCCACACAGTGTATACTTTAAAATGAAGAGATTTTGAAGAAGGGATGTCTTCTTCAAAATGCATCCATTGGCTGTTTTCTAAAAGCAAGTTTGTGGTGGCTAAGATTCCATCTGGTCATCCTGTGAGTCCACGCTTATGGTGGAACCTTGGCTGCTGGTGTCAGCATTTTCATAGGACTTTTGATCTTTAGCAAAGTTGATGAAAACCTGATTTGTTAAGAAAAATAAAACAAGAAATAAAGTTAAGATATGCCCACATGTACTCACACACCTTAAGTTAGAGTCAGTTTTTACAGTCAACTTTAACTGGAGTTTGAGAATAATATCTAAATCTATGACTATATTATTGACATTTATGATTATAAGCTAAAATTCCAGCTATAGTTGAATTTCTATAGCCACATATCTATATCCATATATTCTATATCAATGTCTCTGTCAAATATAATTAAGATGCCTAAACCAAGCCCCGTCTAATCTTTATATTTCACTAAAATAAAATTTGCATAGAAATCTCACATTATGTTCGTTAACCAATTATTTAATAGATAGAGCTCTTCATTTATTAAGAATCATTAAATATATTAGTTACAGATTCATCCCACAACTACTTATCAAGGGTCTAGTTTTTGTCAGGCATGATGCCGGCAGGTGATCACTCAGAGACTAAATCTCGAGACTAAGTCTTCTTATGCAATGACATAATTGTGTTAGGTCCCTATTAAAAAGCCCAAAACCTCATAAAAGGCTGTCCACAAAACGCAGCATGATATGTCAATGCAGAGGCTCTCCTGTCAACACAGACATAATTACATGTGCTATATGTTGTGCTGGGTGAGCTGTATCAAATTAAGACAGTGCAGTGATGAAGAAACGACTTACTGAATTTCAGTGTAATTAAGATAGGTACAAATGAAAGAAAAGAATTCTGCATTTGTTGTGTTAACTGTGTGAATTTAGGAGATTTCAAAGTCTGCAGAATCTCTTGCCATTCCTATGCTACCCTAACCCCAAAAGCACATCGACAAAAATGTCCTTGAAACTTTCCAAGGAGAAGGTAGGGTAAAGCATCAACAACTATTTATTTTGTGGGTGAAAACAGTGTTTTGTTGCTTTATATATGCATGTAACTTTATAAATACAAATGTCTTAAAGACTGGAAAAATCTTCATTTAAAAACAGTAACGTCTTTCATATTTTTTAATATCCCAAAATACAGTCAGAAATAAATGAAGCTCTTTGCTAAGTTTTCCAGGTGTAAGATTAGATACTGCTTCAATTAAAAATAAATTGAATGTCATTAAGAGAAAATAACCAAGATGCATGATAATTAATATGTGACAGTATGCACATGGATAACGGTATACATCTTACCTCTTCCAGTGTAGTCTGACTCACTAGGAAATTTGTGATATTTAAAGCAGCCTTGTTAGTTTCTAGCAGGTCAAAAATGTTTGCGACCCCTCCTGCAGTGACTGGTACATGATACTCTAGCATGCTAAGGTGCTGATCCTGTGGGAACCAAAGAAAAATTTATTTTACAATATTAATTAATATTGACTTGATGAGACATACCTGAGAGCTATGAACAATACTGAAATTCATTCCACTGAAAATGATGCTGCAGTCTAAATAATGGGCATGCTTAGAAGCAGCTTGTGGAGATAAGATGCAAAATTTTATGAACATTAAAGAGAAAACAAATTAAAAAGTTAACAAAATTTTCAAAACATTCTGCATTGTTTTGCGGTTATAAAGTCAAAACCTTGCCTGGAAAAAATTTTGTGGGATAATATTTCACATGTGAGTTTAGGCTCAGCTCACATAAGCTTCTCAGAGATCAATTTTATTTTATTTTATACATTTTTGTTTCTATGAATACATGTCTGCAGTACACAATGATTACATTCGTTGTGGGCAGTTGGTAGATGTACATAACACATTTTAATTCTTTTAACTTTCTCTTCTACTCCCCTCCCTCAGAGATCAATTTTAGTAATTTTATTTTTATGTTAGGATTGTTCCAAAACACTAGTGATTAGCTGTCCAATTTATACTGGAAAATGGTATATTTTGTCTAGGTACAACCTCATTCAAATGACATCTCATCCTTCCCTATTTACCCTTAAAGTATTTTTTAGATTTTTAAAATGTTAGTCAATAGTATCACCCTCTACTTAGTCGTGCATTCTTACTACCTTGGGGTATCTTTACCATCATACTTTTCTGAATATTTAAACAGTTACCATATCTGTTTTCTGATTTTTAAGACAGCTATTTCCTTTTCTCTCTACATACCTCCCTGATATTAACTTGATGCTCATCACATCTGAGTAAGCGCAGCAGCCACTCTAGAGTCCTAGAAACTAAACAAACCCATTTATTCCGGCACAAAGCCATCAGAGTATTTTTTCTAAGCACTAGTTTGAACGGGATCCTTCCTTACTTGGATATCTACCCTTGCAATGTCTAGGGATCAAATCAAGATGACACATTTCAGCCTGATATTCAAGACTTCCTGGGTGGGGGATTTAGCTAAGCAGCACAGCGCCTGCCTGGTAAGCGCAAGGTCCTGAGTTCAATTCCCTGTACCAGAAAACAAACAAACAAACAAAAAAGACTTCCTTTCTTTTCTTTTCCCAGTCCATCTGAATTATGCCTGTCACTGCAATCTGGCCCCCTTGCTTATTTTTACCCTCAGACTGTTGGGCTGGTGTTTTGTTTCTAGAGATTTAGAAATCATTGTAGGAGGATAAAGGATGGTGTGTTTAGGCTGAAATCAAACTTTTATCATCACTTTATTTGCCTTAGAGAGTCCTGTTTCCATGAGGAAGAGGCCAGGATAAATGCAATTTCATCACTCAGCAAATAAAGATTTCATCCCAGAAATTCACTAAAAGAAAAAGCATCTGACCATATGATTAGTAGAAGAAAGACATCCTTTAACTTTTAAATTTGATTTAAATTTAGAGTATAGAAAATGGGTCTTGATAAGAAACATGAAAGTATTATTTCCTAGAGATATTAGCCAAGGCTTGGAGAGACTGAGGTTAATGTATTGTATAAGCATAAAGGACTTCTTTTAGAAACGTGTTGTTTTGCTCTCTAAAATCATTTATTAAAATCATCTACATTACCATTGTACCTTATTGCTGCTAAGGTATTTTTATGGATCTGCCACTTAACTCACACCATTTTTGTAAAATGGATGTCTGACTCTATTTTACAAATGAAAAAACTGAGGCTCAGAGACTTTAAACTTCGTTTTGTATATTACCCCATGTGGCTGGGCTCAGTCTGAATTTTTGCCATTTATTTTCATTATTCCACATCTGATTTCCTTTTAACAACAATTATTTGCCATTTTTGAAATTTCTGAAAATTGTCTGTGTAACAAAGATATCATAATAATCATTTTCCTGTCAAGTGCTTTAAGTACATGCCATGTGAGATGTACATGCTTATCTCCCTGTGTCCATCCTATAACTAGGTAGTATATATGTAAGATAAAATTAATACTATGATATTTCATCTCATTTGGGACTTGAAGGCTTATTGCAGACTTATTTTTTAAATGAGAAGAAGAAAAGAGGAAAGGTGTTTTGTTTTGTTTTGTTTTGTTTTGTTTTTGTTCTGGGAATCAAACTCAGGACCTTGCACTTGCCAGGTAGGTGCTTGCGCTGTTGAGCTATCTCTCTGGCAAGAAGAATAAAAGAGAGAACCTCCTCCAGCTATAACATTCTGGATTCCCTGATGTTTTCCCCTATGGAGAAATGTCTTGGTAATGTAATAACTGCTGTCTCTCAACTCCTTCACATATCTAACTAGTAAACTGGAAAAATATACTAGTAAAAAGCAAATAGAGTGTGACTATAAAGACTTTGTGAGGAAGAAATAAACACATGAAAGACTATGTTAACTCTAAATAGCTATAAAAACACATATTTGAAAATGCTATTTGTTCATATAAAGTATGCTTGAACTAATGTACTATGATTAATAACAAAGCTATGATGAACTTGGAAATGGCAAATATCCACGACAATATTTTACTATGCCGATTAAAGCTCAGGATCAAAAGGCAGGACTGTCACTTACTTTTAAATATGTTTTTGGAAAGTGCAGTTGCATGAACCTTGTGAGAGTCTCCATGCTCACTTTGTTATTCTTTAAATGAACCTTCACAGTAAAGCCACGTCCAAACCTAGAAAGAAACGTGCAAATTACAGGACAAGTTATATTTTGCCAAAATCACTCCCCTGGGGTTTTAGATAATGAAACAAAACCCAGGCTGACAGTTATGGCCTCTTTTCTTACATAAAGACTATCATTTTGCCATGGGCTCAGGGCATGTTGCAAACTATTAATAGTTCACTGCTATGACTTTTTAAAAATTTATTTCCATCTGTACAGTAAGTTAGATTCTTTGAACAAAAGCAATATTCGAAAGAACACATAATCTATGGTTTTCTCTGACATGCATGAATTAGCAATGGATGTCATTTTCTGGGGTTAAATATATTCTAATTTAAAGTAAGCAAGGTCTTGAGAGACGTCATTATGGATTTGGTGTCAACAGTCAATATTAATATAAGTGGGACTTTTAAAAATATGAAATCAGCATGCTAGTCTTAATTGAACCAAGAATAGAGTTCATAGGCAAGTCACCAGAGATCCTTGAGAACATCAGGCCTCTGCCATCCTTTTCCCTTGTCTCAGTTACTATTATGCTATAAGTCATGTTGCTGTCTGAAAAGGTATAAAGTATCATCCTGAAGTTTAGAGATTACTATGAATATGTATAAATGCAAGAACATTCTTGTGACTATAAACCACTAATTTAATTTTAATTTGATGGTGATACAGTATTTATGCACATTTCCATGGTGTATTCTTGATTAAAAGGTTTTCAATGTGTTACAAATGTTAAGCAGCTTTCTGAATGCTTGTGAAAATGGGAAATGAACGTACTAGATAAAAACCTATATCTCCCTGTACTTCCTAATGTCTAATTTCTTTCTGGTTAAACTCCTAAAATTGCTCCCTGAGAGTGTTGTGCAATTATTATTATTATTAGCTTTAGACATTCTAAGATTTAGGGGTATGAACTAAAAATATGATAAACTCCCAAAATACTTTAAGGTGGGTCAGTGATTACTTCTGCAGATTCACTTCTCCATTCCTGTTTTACTTCTCATTGCAAGATAGGCTGCTGAGATAATCCTTGAAATGGGAGATCGCACCATTAGATTGGTTGCTCCACATCGCATATTAAACGACATATTTATTCTCTACCTGCTCTTTATGTGCTGCAAAGATCCAATGCACTGGAACCTTCCATTCACCATAATGGCCAGCCTGGTACAAAGAGCTTCACATTCTTCCATGCTGAAAGGTGAAGTGAAATCACATCAACATTCTGAACCCAAAGAATTGGGTTGAAGCTCATAAGCATAAACTTAATTATTTCATGACTACACCTGAGAACTCTGTCTTGAAGGAGAATGAAAAAAAAAAATCTTTTAAAGTATAAATTAAATGTCTTCAGGTAGGGCTTTTAAATGTTTCTCATAAAATTTGAGGCCACCTCTCTCACCTAGAAGGCCCTCCTATCAAACCCAATATTTTTTTCATGCTTGTAATTGTAACATGCTCTTTTAAGGTTTGACTCAAGACTTACATTTCCTAAGAAATGTTCCCAAAATCACCCCAAGTTTTTTTCATTATGCCTCCTACTCTAGTTAGCTTTTATGTTTTTGGACTTATAACTAGCTAATCTATACCTGATTACATGCTCTTTCATATCATAACTAAAGGCAGCTGTAGGTATCACCCTGTCCATCAAGTGTTCATGGGGATGAAATACTTGGCTCTAGTGTGCTGGCAGAGGAATAATATAAAGCAGCACTGAATAATAAATTCATCTAGTAGTTTTTCTACTATATGATCACTTTAATGCAAGGAGGATTTAATCCAAATTATAATACTGTGGCAACATCATAAGAGAGGCTTTAGTATCACTGACACTTTTTTGAAGGGAAGGTGTACTTCATGGAGGGGAGGGATGTGAACTGGTGCTGGGAGGACTGGTCAGATTACTACCTGGAGCGATTGTGTGAAGAGATTATTTCAAGGAAAGAGCACAGCTGAAGAAAGGATTTGGAGATGGGAAGCAGCGGTGTGTGCATGCAGAACCATGAGCAGCGCAGACTGACTGGTTGCAGAGTGTGGTAGGAAGAAAATGACTAAAAATTTAGCTGAGGCCAGATAATAGGAGGCCTTGCATAGTAAGGCTGAGGATTCTGAATTTCATTTTATAGGTAATGGGCAACCACAGGTGAGTTCAAATGGCCATGTTTTGTGACAAATCTGTTTTCAAAAGACTTCTTATAGCTCACACCCTGTCCTACCACATTAGTCTTGCCATAAAAACCTACTTATTTGACTTGGCTCTACTAATACAAGCATAAAACACATTTATACAATGGAAGATATTCACTGTCCCTGATAACGCACAGGATTACTTCTTCTTATCTAACATTGTAAGAGTGTGTCACTTGACTTTAAAGGTCCCATCCTCAGCCTACCTATGAGATGTGAGGATGACGGAACACTTGTTCTGCACTTCCTCTGAAATAATCTTCCAGAGGTGCCGTTTCGACTTAGGATCCATCCCAGAGCTCGGCTCATCCTTAATAGAGAGTTACAAGAAAAATTCATCAAATTAATTAATTTCTGATGAGGTTCTTTACACGAATCACTGAGTCTTGATTCCTTAGACTAGAAATCACTTTTTGAAGTTCTGTGATTAACTTGTTTTATACATAATAGATCTTTTTTTTTTTGCTGCTGCTGCTGTCAAAAAGCTCAAAATTATTTAAAACTGTCAATCTATTTTAAAAAGTGTCTGGGTGAAACTGACACTCTGTTACTTTACATTCATCTCATGTGTTTTTTGAAGAAAAGTTTGTTTCAGTTACTGACAAAGCAAAGTTTTTGCATTTAGTTCTATATTTTCACATATATATTAGAAGGTATACCAATAATATTGCCATCACATTCATGAAAGTAGAATTGTAACTATGAGTACTAACACACTTTTAAAGCAGAAAAAAACATGATATGATATTTTAGTTAATATGTCTGAGGTATATTTCTAGTTTTATGTTGCTAATTAAAATTTAACACTCCTTGGGAAAATAAAAACAAGATTTGCAGAAATTGCAACATAAAAATATATATATTATTTTTCCAAAGTAAATGGTTCTTTAAAAAATTGTTCAGACAAAACTTTTTTTAAATGTAACAATAGATGATCTTAAAAAGCAATAATAGATCCTGACATGATTGTAAAGAGCAAATTATAGGTCAAGATTAGGTAAAAATTTAAAACTGTCCCTGAAAGGGAAAAGTATGTACATGGGATAGTGAAGTTTCTTTTTCTAGTAGGTATTAAATTTAAAGAAAGGAATGAATGTTAGTTTCGGGAAACAGTGAAGGACATACTGTCATTGCTTCTGTTTTTGGAAAAATAGCCCATATGGTAAACAAATCCAGAAGAAAACATGGCATCTTTCATAGCCTGTGTTTCAGTTCAGCTCATTACTGTATAATATTTACATAGCCCTTTTACCATTTTAAAATGCTTTACATATATTATCTCACAGGGGTGCCTAAGTATTGTTTTGTTCGATTGAAGGGACACTTACACAATAGAATTCCATTATAGGCATCGATTGGCAGGGATATAATGCATTAGAAGCTGATGGCATTATATAAAGATGGGCTATGCATCATTCTATCCAAGCAGTGTAAATGATTTGATCCACTGTATGACTTAATCCCTGGAATAAAATGGCTATTTATAACTGGATTTTTATTGCATATAGTTAAGATGCTTTCAGAATTTGGAGGTCCTTGAATCAAGGGGATCTTCCAAAATAAAGGAGAGTTTGTTTCTCTGAAATAAACATCCTGTACACACTGGGTCCAGAGAACAGAATACTATATACCACCACTCTGCATAATTTATGTACTAGGGATCAATTTAATTTTCCAGCTGTTCGCTAAAATAAAAATGTGTAGTATTTTTCTTTCCACCCCCCTGGAATTCAGATAAAATAACATAATATATCACCCATCACATCTCAAGTTAAATAACTCATATTTTTAAGTTACAAAGAAAAAAATTTTAGTACAATATATTGTCCTAAAATATGCCTGTCTTCAGTAGAAAATGGAGCTTATTTGTTAATTAGCTTGATAAGTTAATTAACTTACTTGATTAGCTCCTAGTAGAAAAAGACATAATTTCATTAATATTTGGGAATTGAATTCTATCATGTTCTATAATTTTACTTAGTTGCTTGAAATTCCTGAATTTGCAGCAGCTACTTCCCACCCCCATGCTGCGTATTTTCTCCAAAATCTACCGAGCCAGTGTTTCAGACAAAAACATTTTTTGAAAATATATTACTGTGGTAACTCATTATTTGCTGATATAAATTCCTTTGATGTGATGGTATAAGGTCCCTATAAAATAACTGGTCCATAGTGAGACCTCATGAATACTGACTGTGACAGTGAGGATGAGATGTTAACATACACAATCGGATGTGCTGTTCTAATTATGTAGTAGTCTTTCTCATAACGCAGCTCTTACCAGCAGTAGAATGGAAGGTTTCCCTATTAAGGCCAGAGCAGTGGATAATTTTCTTTTTGTACCATAACTGCACATAGAGGTGGATCTGTCCTTGTAGGGCATCAAGTGAAGTCTCCTAAGGAGTTTATGAACAGTCTGTGGATAATAAAAGAGGAATTAGGTTGACCTTCCCCTGCCAAAACATTTAAAGCACCAAATGGAAGAAAATCTGCTTGTGAAAAGAAAATTTTATCAGGGAGAATTGAGGCCAAGAAAAAAAATTAAAACATTTAAATTCAACATAGATTTTATTTTCATTTTAAAGGACTATTTAAAAATTAATAGTTCATTTAAAGAGATAAAAGCAATTCCTCAGAGGCTTATTTTCAAATGAGATTTTTCCTTCCAAAAGTGTGTGCGTGTTTACTGTTTCAGATTGTACTTTATGCTATAATACCACAGGATTCTCCTATAAAGCTATAAAGCTTAAAAGAACTAAAACAGAATTCAAAGGTAGGTTCCTCATTGATTGTCATCACTCCTTCATCTTTCTTCTGACTGAGGGGTGAGTTGTCACAAAGGTTTTAAGTCTATTTTAAAAAGACCCACTATCAAAACTTCAGTACATTCAGAATCATGGGTTCTTCTAGTTATTTCTGTAGTTAAATGGCCCTGGCAAATAATGAATTCCTAGTTGGATTTGTGCAGCAGGTCCCCAGGGTTGCAAAAAAAAAAAACAGAAGAAACTGCCCTAAGGGTAGTCATTCCATTACAAAGGAAAATAGTTGCAATGGTATGCAAAGTCACAGATTAAAAGTCAAAGAGGATGTCTGAGGTTGTAGCTCAGTGGTAAAACATGTGCTTAATGTGCATGTGGTCCTTGGATGCAATCCCCAGCACTACAAAATAAAATTAAATTAAATTAAAATAAACAAAATGGGAGGTATTCTATTTCCTTGGGCATTTTTCAGTTAATGCTATGTGTTGATGCTTATTTGAATGTCAAAGGATGTAGAAACATCACCAACTAGTCCTCAGCTCAGAACCTAATGCAGACATGATTCTTCGGCAGTTTCTAACAGAGCAACTAAATAAACCAGGCCCTGGAGTTTTGAAGGTGAGTCCACAGGTGTGTGTAGAGTATACTTGGTCAAGCAAAGTTGGGCTCATTCTCATTGTTAGGAAGAAACGTCCTGGCTTTTCAGGTGCCAGGTTGGTTTTATGGGGGTTGTGGTGCCGGACAAAGAAAAATAACAACGGTTATCAAATTCACTAGTTTCTCACATGGGTACTCACTTCTTTGATATCTTTTTCTGGAATTCCATGGACTCTGGCATAGAAGTACAAATGTTCTTCCACAGTTACCAGATCATCTAAGGCATCTTCCTGAGGGCAGTAACCCACTAACGAGCTGTGAGAGTCAACGTGACCCAGAGATCTGAATGGTGAGATGAAGAATACATGAGTTTCAAAATATATGGCTCTTCTGGTCTCCAAATGTCAGGATGGTGGCTCTATTTTGCTCATGACGGTGATTTTGATGAAAATGGATAAAATAATCGCACTATCAGAGTCACATGAAAAGGTTAAAAATCCCCACTCACTTTGATAGTCTTTTTCCCTTTGAAGATTTAATAACACAACTACAAAATCACCTAACATATTCATTGAAATTATTTTAATTGCATTGCACTTGGTAAGATGGAAGTATTAGTTTTGCATACCCTGTCTTATTTCTGATCAAAATGTTTCCACTCGAAGGAATAATGTCTCCAGTCAGCATCTTGAATATCGTGGTCTTGCCTGCTCCATTCACCCCAAGAAGGCCAAAGCACTGATTTAAAGGGAGAAAAAAAAAAGATGTAAATCTTAGAGAACTGTTGCTACTGTATCCCTTTCCTTCTCCCTGGGTTAAACATATTTTCAAGAAAAATAAATCACTGAATTTTTTTGAGGAAATACTCTGTTGACATTTGGTAAAACTTTCTCTCTTAAAACAAATTGGTAAACTGGGCGTGGTGGCACCTGCCTGTAATCCCAGCACTCGGGAGGCTGAGGCAGGAGGACTGCCAGGTGTTTGAGGCCAACCTGAACTACCCAGTGAAACCTTGTCTCCAAAAAAATGGTGTTTTATGTATCTTTTTTCTTTTTAATTAAATGAACATTTTCATATATATATAGGGAACATGTTTTACATATTATATTACAGCACCCCTTTATATGACATGATATAATACCCCAGAAGATATGCTAACTTGAAGTAATTACATTTATAGATTTCACATTATTCATACAAAATCACAACTTTACTGAATAAGCTACTGAGGCAATAATTTTTTTATGCTAGTGAATAAATTCGATGCATGAAATTTGAGACTCTGTTCAGAAAATGAAGGAACTAGTCATATTCTTTTCCTTCTTTCAAAGCTGCCTGAATACTATGCCTGTGAAAGCGACAAGGATATAAATGGATGTAGTTCTAGGACCTCACTTCTGACAACTCCTGTTTTCTTTATAGTGTCTTTTGAAGGAGCTTGGGAATGAACAGTTGAAGAGAGCACCCTAAGCAGGTTTGCTGACCAATCTCACTCCAGAAAGGACAGTAGTTTGAGAAAGGTACCAGGACTTGCTGTGTGGTAGAAAATGGTGCCTCTTGGCTGCCTAGACTCAAAGGATAAATTACAGATGCTCACATATAAGTTTTCTATTGATATATATGGATCAGGTGAGACTGAAAAATATAGTACATTTAAATAAAAATACATTATGGTAAAAGACACATTGCCATTAACCCCCATCAAAATACTTCCCCTTGATTCAAGCATCCCATTGTCTGTGCTACTTTCTAAAGCAGTTCTGGAAGTCCCTTTTGTGAGTGTCTTTAGTTGTGCTGTAGTGGCTGCTTCAGTGTCCTCACTCTATTCAATATGTTCACCTTTCATGAACATTTTGACTTTGTGGAAGAGCCAGAAGTCACACTGTACCAGATCTAGAGAATAAGGTGGGTGAGGACACACCGCAATGTTTGTATGAGCCTGCCTTTCCTTTGGTTGGTACTGGGCAGAAGCATTCACCAGAACTGCTTCAGAAAGTGGCCATAAAAATGGATCAATGTATTCAGAGTGAGAGGGAGTATTTTGAGGAGATTAATGATAATGTATCTTTTACTATAATAAATTTCTTTTAAAAAATGTAAAATTCACCTTATTTTTGTCATCCTTTACATATTTATATACACATGTGTGTATGATGCATGTGTATATATATGTATATGACCCATAGAGATACTGTTTGAGTTTTGTATTTCTAGAAAAATATTGAAAAAAATAATTTTCATTTGTCACTTTATTTGTCAAAAGGGCAGAATTGAATTATAGTTCCTCACCTCTCCTGCGGGTATCCCAATGCTGATGTTGTTTACAGCTATAATCTTTTTGTGGATAAGTTGGTAGGTCTTTGTGAGATGATGGAGTTGGACCAGATCAAACTCCGCTGCTCCACTCTCAACCCTTAATCTCTCAGCCCGCACATCTTCGTCTTCGTTTGTTAGCTCCATTACAGGTGAAGAACTAAATTTTCTGAGCAAGAGTCTGAAAAAGCAACCCCAGTGATAGTATATCAGTGATTTTTGAAATAACTCTCCTCAATTTAGACATGTTTTGATGTCATTTCACTTTAGGGAATCTGTGCTAGTATTAAACTTCTTTTAAATCTGTTAAGTATTACGTACTCAACTTAAAAATTAGTATGGGCTCTTCACCATATTTAATATGATAGGTGAGAAGTAACTTTTGTTTCTATGCCTTAAATATTTATAGATTCACATTTAAAATATCAAATCCTAATTTTAGTAACAAGAAGATGAGTCTGTTTGAAAGTCAGTTCCTAATAAAGAGTTCAGAGTAAGGCTGAAAACCTAGAAACCTAAGACAAAAGATCATCATTTAAAACTATCTTGTCTATTTCTTCTCTGTTTTAAAAACTGTAGTAACATTTATGAGAGCTCTACTCTCTTAAAAAATTTTAAGTTCAAGATATGCTATTGTTAACTATAGGCATAATGCTATACAGTAGATCTCTATTTTTAAATAATCCATGATATGAATTAACAATGGTTGTTATATTACATATTGTTATCTTCAAAGTGGTTACTCAGAAAACCAGATCTTACATTCTTACATTGGGTAATCTGAGCAACTTGGTTGAAGATAACAATGTGTAATATAACACATTGTTAATTTCCTATCACTTTGTTTTGAAATTCTGTATAATTTTTATTGTTTTTATGTTGTTTTGTTTCTGTCTTTGTCTTTGTTTTTGTTATTTTGTTCTTGTTATTTTCTCTTTAAAATAAAAAAAGAAAAAAATATGTATATACAAGGATCACTGAGATAAGTGTATTGCTGATGTCTATTGGTTTGCTGAAAGGAACAGTTTCTGTTTCTTTTAATGATAGTCCAGAGACATCAGCTCTGCTGTTTTCTTTGAAATTTCCTTACTCTAAAATACAATCATGCAGTCAGTTCCCCAAAACCGGAAATGCCGTGTAACTCCTGCCATGGATCCCTTTTTGTCTGTTTCTACCCCCGTTACAAGCTTCCACTCCTCACCCAGATTTCTCCAGGGGCCTGAAACTGTTCCAGTGTTTCTGATTCTTCCATTCCAATCTATCCTATCTCTACAAAATCACTCCCCTAAAGCTCCATTTGATCATGATGCTACCTTTTCAGAACCTGTGTTTGCTGAATAAAGTCCAAACTGTATCTCCTTAGCAAGCATTCAGAGAGTCCATAATCTCCCTACCTTACTGTAAGTTTTATCTCCTAGTATTTCATTACATTTATTCTATGTTCTAATCACACTGTATTATTCCTTTCTTAAGTGTGCTGTAATATTTTTTCTGTATCTCTGCTCTTGGCTTTCCTTTTATTATATAATTTAATTAAAATTTTATTTCAGTAGGTAATACATGTACATGATATTAAAGTTCAAATGGAACTGAAGAATATATAGTGAAAAGTCATCTTCAACCATGCATAGTTTTCTTCAGAGGCACCCCTACCTAGGGTAGTCTAAGGATTTGTATGCATAAATCCTACAGATTTCCTTCTAACTCAAATGGTAATATACTTTACGCATAGTCCTGAATCTCAAATTTTTTACTTAGTAAATGTTAGAAATAATCTCAAATCTTGCATATAGAACCGTATTATTCTTTCTAATGGGTGCATCATGTTGTGTTTATGAGTATATACATACAGTTTATTTAACTATTTTGCCAATAAAGAACACTCTAGCTGTTTCTACTCTATTAGAAATCATTGCTATGGTGGGTAATTTCATACCTATATAATTCTGCATCTATGTGAGCATACTAGTACAAAAAGTCCCTAGACATGCTGTGGCTAGGCCAATGGTCTGTGCATTTCTTTTCATTTATGATGAAAACCGCACTTCATCTCAATATCTTTTTCCCAAACTTAGTGCCAACATACCAGGTACACATTCAATCCTGTTTCTCATTTCTGTTCCCTGAAAGTATTTTTTATCCTTTTGTACTCAACTCTCATTTAGGTACATATTTTCTCTCTACCACTGAATCTTAATCTCTTTAAGGTTGACTACTGTACTTATTTGACTTTCTTATAGCAATACTTGAAGACACATAGAAAGATTAGACAACTATTTACTAGAATGAAATAAATGATAATTTATACTAAAAAAATTGAAAGGTTTTTGAACAGAACATTTTCATATTACTAATGAAAATCTAAGACTCTTGATTCCTCCCTGAGTGTTTGGAATTGAATTCTATTATGGTTGCCAAACACTGTGTTTTTGTTAGATTTACCTGAGTTTTTTTATCAGCCACTCATTGATTAAGAGTCGCAACAAAAAAAACGCGGTGCCTTGAGTTACCAGCGCTACAAACATTGCCCCTAGTTTATCCATTTCAAAAGTTTCATGTGGGTATTCCACTCCATATGCTTTTAAGAAGTCCAAGACTGATTGTTGTTGAGAAAGTTCAATCAAACCATAGCCAAAACAGAATTGTGGGAAAATCAGGAAGATTTGCTTGAGGGTCTCAGAAATAAGTTCCAAAGTCTGAAACAAGAGAAAGAACAATGAAGTTTAGTGTTAGGCTTGCAACACATTGATGAAAACTTAAAGCTAGATGTAGAAAAATATTGAGAAACCTATCTAGACTGGCAGTGGTTTCAGTGGGCTGCATTTGTATACAGATATGTACTACAACCAAATGGTGGAGGTTTGTCATTAAAATACAAGCAGAAAAAGACTTTCTTGAGGTGACCTGACATCCAGGAGACAAAGCTTCTAGACAAGCCTTAGACTTTTGGAATGTAGGGCCTGTTAGGATGTTGGGGACTGGTACAGGGTATTGGTAGGTGCCTGAGTGCAGGAGAAATTAATTCAGCAAAGTTTCAGAACCTAAGATAATTTCTACTTGGAGAGAGATGAAAATGGTGAAATGAGATGGAAGGAGAGACAACATATCTCAAAGAGGAGCAAATGGCTCATTTTCACGTTATTCACACTTGAGGCCAACTACTTCCACCTCATGAATTTTCTTTCTCCTCCTAGAGTGTGCTTGTCTGTTCCTTAGTTCACTTCATTTCCTCTCTATTCTTTGCTGTTCAATTGCCTGGCACTGTTAGTGCTACTCTTCTCACTAATCATAATTGTCAGCTCTGAATGGAAAGTGATGCTTACAATGAAGTAGATTCCAATACATGATTGAAAGGGAATGAATTAAGTTTTCTTTCTATGAATGTTCAAATGAATCCCAGCCCATAGTCATCTAGCTAAGCCATTTTTCTTGTTACTATTATACCATAGGAATTTGTTAATGAGTGAAATGTTTAGCTGACCAGTTGGTAGCATGATATATATAGCACTGTACATTATATCTGATTTCACCTCCATCACCCCACTTGAGATTTATCAACTGTGAATTGTTTTGGCACTTGATAAATAGCAGTAAAAGGCATTAACATACATGGAGCTTACAAAGACTATTTAAGACTGTAGTTTCTTCTCTTTTAAATTTAAAACAAGAACCAAATAATATTCTTTTCTATTTAAGAAATGAAGAATAAAGAAAATCTTTCCACGTTGAACACATTAAAGATTTTGATGTGTTCACTGACATTTAACAGACTAATAAAGGACCTACCGGATCATTAGGCTTTTCCTTAGAAAGAAAGTATACCACCGACAGGGAAACAATGGAATTGATACCAAAAAACAGGTTGACACAGACATAAGTGATGAAGGCCATCCCTGTTTCATGGAATAAGCCAGCCAGCAAGTACATCCAAGAAAAGGTTGCATATCTGTAGGTTAATAATACTAAGATTAAATTATGCCTTAATTTTTCTATTTTACACAGCCATAAAACAAAAACTTAGATGAGTTTACAAAATAAAAGTAAATATTAGCAATGAATTGCCAAGCCCTGTAGCTAGATTTCACTCTCATTCCTCTTTCTGACAAAAAACCCAAAGGATATTTTTAAATGACAGTAAGAAGCCTCTCTTTTAAAGAACCATGGGTCGTCAAGCATTATTACAACTACAAATTAATCCCCCCTGGGGATGGTGTTATCCTAGTCAGGCAAGACTTTTGTTGCTCAGAAATATGAGTTCAATCTGTAAAACTCTTATACTTTAGGGGCTGGGGACTTAGCTCAGCAGCACAGCGCCTGCCTGGCAAGTGCAAGGTCATGAGTTTGATTCCCAGTACTGGAGGGGGAAAACCAAAAAAACTCTTATACTTTAAAGTTGAGGAAAAATAATGACATTGGTATAGGCTAGCTGAGCACACAAAGGCTGGTGAGAAGTTAGCCTGTTTTGAGCAAAGAGTTGAGCAACTTTGGGGAAAATTCAATAGAGCTAGAGAAAGAAAGGTCCTGCATCTGCCACAACTGCTAACTATCCTGCATTCAAGGTGGAAAGGATTATTACACCTTGCATTGATTATATATATATATTACTTGTGTAAGCCTAATATAAAAACAACAATATTATGTGTGGGTCCTTAGATTTCTATAAAAAGATCAATAAAAACTATATTTGAACTTATGTATACCTTATAGTACTACATATATTTATTTATATAATTTGTCAGTACTTAAATTGACACTTGTATACACATTTTCTCCTGGTCATTTTAAACCCTTAATTTTGATGTAAATGAGATTACTTATGTAAATTAGTAAGCATAACACTTGGCACCCAGTAAGTGCTCATTAATGATAACGACATTAATTTTCAGAAGTATTACACTGCACAGACTACAGACTAGAACATATAATCATCACTCGTGTCAAATGAAACCCCAAGACAATTGTAAATTTGCTAATGTGATTTAGGTTCTATTTGTACCTAGGAGGATTTAATTTTGTTAATTCTTTCTTCATTGCTTTATCATCAGCTTACCCAAACAGCAGAAGAAGGAGAGATACAGCACCCAGGTTGCTTTCACTGTAGAAGGCAGGCAACTTGAATATTGCAATGACGCCAATGGAAAATGCTACAGGGACCAAGTAGAAGACCTATAGGAATATGTAAAACCGTGTTTGATATATAGCAAGTATTCTTTCAAATCAATAACCCATCCAGTCTAAAACTACAAGATGACAACCTAGAAAAATTTGAAGGAATGAGTTTTTATCTATGTTCTCATTGCTTATATTGTCTAGTTTATTTTACACTGCCTTTACCTCAGAATTTTTCTCCCCCAATGTGAGGTTGAGCCAGTTTCCATCTTTATAGATATACCAGAAGTCCCTGGTGTTCCTGCCTCGAGTCTCTAAGATTTGGCATCATTCAGCAATAGAGGTTCAGTGAGAAAGATAACACAACCAGGTTTTTTGTATTAGAGTCAGTCCTCAAAGTATTGATTTTATTCTGAATTCCACAGCTATCTCAAATGGTTGATTTTTAAGGACTGGTTATCAGTATGCACCTCTCTGTGCAAACCAATAGGACAGCAGGTCCCACAGATTCTTAGAATCGGAGGTGTATGAACAGATAACTTTGCTGACAAGTAGAAATATCAAATGCTAGATATTTTGTACGCAGCAAGATGCATACAATGAAGGTAATGGTAATTTGAGTGCCCCCACATATGTGGGGCTTGGGAAGATGTCTCCTAAATTGGAATGAGCACCAGATGTAACAACAGACCTCAGTAGTAGTAAGACCTTCACAGTAGCATGTACGTGAAGCTTTCTTTTTTTTAATTTTTTTTTAACATTAAAGCCCTTATTAAGTTCAGAGCAATCACTACCATTCTTTCAGATTTGGCTTCTATAGCAAACAAATTTCCGACCTCATCAGATATATCAGCAAAGTGGATATGGAGTTAATTACTTTCCAATTCCTCAAACCAAAAAGCTTGACAACAACTCGGACAATTTCACCATAAGCACAGGAAAATGCACACTCATCCTAGGCTTGTGGCCAACACTGGTACGTTTGGAGGCAAGAACAACCATCTGAACTTTGGGAACATTTTATGCAAATGATAGAGCTATCAATGAAATCCATCCCTTTCTCCTCTGCTAATCTTCTCTAATGTGTCACTCAACAGGGACTGCTACTTTGAATTTTTCACTATTGATTCAATTTTTATAAGCTTGATTATTTCCCACAACTGGGGAGAACTGTTCTGCTGGTAAACTTCAATTTCTCCACAGTAGTGGTTCTCAGACTTCTTTTTTTTGTTTGTTTGTTTGTTTTTCTCGGGTACCAGGAACCGAACTCATAACCTTGCGCTTGCCAGGCAGGCACTTTGCCGCTGAGCTAAATCCCCAGCCCCTGTTCTCAGACTTCTGTGTGCTTCGTATCACCTGGGGCTCTTGTTTAACATGCATGCTAGCCATGCTGCACTCCGCAGATATGGATTTTATAGCACTGGATGGGGCCCAGGAATCTGCATATAAACAAGTGCCCCAGGAATTTTCCGTGTCCCAGAGATAAAGACAGGCAATTTCTCTTTCCTCAACCACCACATTAATATAAACCTGACTCAAATTACTTTTCCTTACTTCACTATCCTTGTGATAATAATTTGAATAACTAGAATAAATAACTCCAATAAAAACTGGTATTTTCTATTCAAATAGAGCCTGTCTTTCTTGCAATGACAAAAGTTACTCACCATGTCATAAATGAAGTTTGTTACCCAATAGCACGTCACACCAATGCCTGAAATGTGCTGCAACTGCTTCGCTTTGGTCTGATGTTCCCTTACAACATAGGTGACAAAGCTGGCGGTGGTGACAGAATAGCCCATCAGGATGGACAGTGCCACTAAAATATCGATTAAACTGCTGATTCTGTGGTGAGCAATAGGGAGAGGAAAGTACACGTAAGTTTTTAAAACTCTTTCCCTTTCAGGAAGATTCATGACTAAAGCCATCAAGAAAACAGTACAAGAGTTGGCTGTGACACAAATAAGTCTTCCTACCCACCAGCCTGATAAAATCTTTGACATGACTCTGCTGCAACCCTGGAATAAATGTAGCTCTAGTGCATCTGAATTGACTAAGGATATTTGATAGAAAAATCTCGGTCTCCAAGGGTTACAGAGTGTATGCAAGAGATATATAGATCTGGAGCACAGAAATGGTACTGAAATGCTTTGCAGGGAAGTTGAAACAATGAAACACTTAGGCACTTGACTTAAAACAGCAGCAGACTTGGTGAGTCTCCAGTCAACAACCTCGCCTTGGCCCCCCCAGTCTGTACTCTGTTAGAAACTTCCATTCATCTCAGTCAGAGACTTCTATTATCAGCCCTCCTAGACGGACATTCATTCAGATTTGACTGTGATTTCCAATTACAGCAATTTATGCAGAAGCTCAGCTATGCGAAGAAAAAAGTACTCATGCCAGAGATATCTGCTTACGTGGCTTGCTCCTGGTCTTGCACGCCTGGATAAGGATGGCTATACATGATGATCCCTTAAAGAAGAGACAATCTTCCATTATTAGGTATTCATTTAATCAGAAATACCAACTTTGAGATGAAAATTATACAATATTTTTCTCTTTATGCTGTTATCTAAAGAATTTTACATTAGTATCCTCTTATAAAGGAAAATGACTTTTTTCTCCTTATCGCATTAACCATCACTGTCATACAGTTGGTGGCACTCTCATGAAGAAAGGTTAAGATTTTCATATGGAACCTTTTGGACATTTTTTACATAAAGCATTGTTCCTTCTATCATGTTTAAACAATTGTTCTCCATTGTCTTCTATCTGGTCATATGTATTTTTCTGCAGCATATTCAGAAATAAGCAATTCAGTGGGGGGACAAATTATATGAGAGTTCCCTAGGGAACAGACCCCACTTTACTCTCTTTGCTGCGCTGACTCTAGTTATTGTAGTCCAAGAGGACCCCTCCCTTTCTCATTACTACTTTATGTTCTGTACAGCTGTATCAGAGTGGGGTTTGGGTTCTTCAGTCAGGCATTTCTACTGAGACATAAAGGTCAAGAAGCATTCAGAGATACTAGCTCATTTCAGGAAAGCAGTCATTTAATTCCAGTACAGTCCCAAATTATTGGGCTCTTCCATGGTTGGTTGTACTGTCTGTGTTAGAAGCAAGGCTATTTTCGCCCCTTCCATAGAGGACCCTGGTTAGCCAAGGGCAAAAGTGGACTGGTAATACTTTCCCAAAGACTACAGTATGATGCCAGTCATGGAAAAGAATGGTAGGGGGTGAGTGTGAGGATATTCCTAAGCACTTGTTTCTACAGAGTCATAAACTGAATGAGAACTTCCTTATTGTTTGTGCAGTATATAACTTATAATATAATACAATATATGATATACTATATAGTATATAATTTAAGGATACTTAGGCATAGTACCTGAATATTATAGAGGATTCTAAATGCATATCACCATTAAATTAAATTTATAATTTTATTGAGAGTAACGTGACACGTTTTGAGGTTGAATTCTGCAACATTGTATGTTAAAGTAAAAACTTGACCTATAAGTATTATCATTTCATTGGGGAATGTACTTTTATTTTGCATAAATTAATGGGTCTTTTAAAACTTAGGTCCTATTTTCCATGGGCCCTACTTAACCTCTGTTAAATTATAATATATCCAAGGGAAAACTTGTCTTTTATTTCATTTTAGATTTCAGAATCAAGAAATACTTTACTTCACCAGAGAAATCTTGGAAAATACATTTTTGTTGGCTATGTAATATCCTGGGAAACCAAGTTTTTTTTCATACATATCTGTAGCATCAAGCTCAAAGAGATGTATCTGGATCAGAATGCTATATCATAATCATCTCTGTAGGTTCTATGACAGCAACCAGCAAAATATCTTAAGTATCATCACTGGCCAATGAGTGATTATTAAATCAAGATAAATTTTAAAATTTCAATTAATATATTCTCTGCATTCGATATATATTAAAAGGAGACTTTTTGTTGTCTCTACAGATCCAAAACTAAAATGAGATGCATTTCATTGGCCATTGTTGCCAATGCAACAAACGGTAAGCCTAAGCTCTAGAGTGGATGGGGAAATGTGTTAATGTTTTTGAAAAAAGAGTTTAGTTGTATAATCTTTGTTAGAGAAAACAAGCAAACTGGTATTTTCTGGAAGGATATTTTCATGTAAAATCAACCACTAGAGGGAACCACATGAATATAATAGATATTGACATTGTGAAGAAAAGCTAATTAAAAGATTTTTACTAGCATGTTAAAATTCAAAGGATATCAATTTTACCCCTAAAGTAAAACCCCAGTTCATGCAGAATCTAGCAAGGAGACTTTCAAACAAGCAGTGTGTTGGGAGAGGTAGTGGGAGAATAATTGGGCTGGTTTTTGAAGAAAAGTACTATTATGGTAGACCCCATTCATGCATTACAAAACAATAAAAGTATCTTATGGTGATAGAGATTTTGTCTTTAAAACAGTCAAACTCCTTCCAGGGAATGCAGAAAGCTTCCAGTTTGATAAGTCTAAACAAGAAAAATGAATATAGTGTTGAAAGCATACCTCCAGTAATCTATGTAACTCAGACTGAGCCTTTTTTTAAATTAAAAAATGTTTCAGCTTAGGGTCCATATAAAGTTTATGTTGTAGAATTATTTTTATACTCTGTAATATAAAATGCAATAGCACTCACTACAACCGTGCTAGAGTCTACAGTGGCCCAGATAGTCTTGGTCTTACTTAGTAAATAATGCAAACAAGAATACAGGTTTTGAAAAGCTGACCCTTCAAATGTGGTATCATCCTCTTGTTCTCTATATCTTGGCTACATTTTCCCCTGGTTATTTCTATAGTTGTGATACTTTTATTATCTGTCACAACAATACATGGCTTTTGCTCTGAATAAAACAGCCTATTAAAAGTCAAGCTTTCTATAGTATTTCTACCCAGGCTATGCCAGACCCACCTGGCTTTAGTCACCATTTCATTTAATTTACCACTTTGATTATGCCCTTTTTTGATGCTCTAGATCCAAGGACTATCAATCTTGTTATTTTCTTTATGGGTCTTCCTGCTAGGAAAATGCCAAAGCAATTGGTGCAAAAAAGTACTATTTTCTCTGAAAAGAAGGCTCCTGAAGATTGTGTGTCTGGGATAAGTATTCAGTGGCACTGTTTGCTTCTACAGTCACCAGTACATCTAGTCAGCACTACTATGTCCTATAGGAGGGAGATGAAAGAGGAAGCATTGATGTTTCTAAGAGAGATTGTCTTTTCTATTCCTACTTAATGGGCTATTTATGAGGCTCAGTCTTGGCCAGCAAATGTGTTAGTCATTTTTTTCCATCTTTTTATGATTATTATTATTTGGATTGGCCTGGAAAAATAATTTGAACAAGGCTCAAGAAGATGAAATGGTCTGATGAACAGTAATTGAATTAGAAAAATAAATCAATTTCTTTTAAATTCCGACCTTACTTTTAAACTATGTGAAAGCCTTTTGGGAAACCAACTGAAGTAGAGCTGACTGAGTCCAAACACTGGGGAGTATTAGAAAATATAAAAAGGAAGGATCAGACAGCTCTGGGGTCAAACCCCACTTTCACACCTCAAAGAAATAATAGTAGGGACACTAATCCTCATCTTGCAGGATGTTGTTAAGGATAGGTGATACTTCCTGTTAAGTCTGTGTCACAGAGTAAGTGCTCAATAAAGGATAACACTTTTGTGTAAGGGTAGAATATATTAGTTTAAAAGTTTTGTTTTCATGTTAGTATTTCTGAACAACATTTATAAACATTAATTGTTTAAATGTTTGCTTATGGAAATAGTTTTCAAATATTTTCTGTTGAAATATAACCATATACACATACACAGAAATTGGCAGTATTGCATGGCCTTGATAAATGAGGAAAATAAATTAAATTGAAATTAAAGGGATTATCCAGGATGTTACATCTGGCAGGAGTTACTACTTCCAAACTCTGTACAAATACCTGTAATTTAGAGGTCATAAAATATTTGCCCCTGGGAGAAAACAGACATCACATGCAGTTTTGTACGGACAGTAATGAAAGTTTTGCAATACAAGATGCCTCTGTGTAACTTTACCGTGCTTGGCAGCATCAGCTTTTGACATGTTAACTCGCAGGAGGAAATTATTCAGGCTGTTGAGGTAAGCTGGAAGGGAATGATAGCCTTCTGGGTCGTACCACACCTGTTAAATTCCAAAAGAAGGCAAGATCATCGTGGTATTTGAATATATTAGGCAGTTTTAACATCTGATAATCTACTGTTGGCATATATTCTGTTTCTGTCTGGAGTGACAGATTCTGAGAATGAGGTGCCCATGGATGAAAAGAAAAACAAGAAAGAGACAGTTGTGGGATCAGAGGGCTTGCAGCCTCTTGGACTGAAGCCTTGATTACCATACTCCTTAGCCCTTTACTGGGATTCAAACAAGCAGCCACAGGGCAAAGGGAGGAATAATTAGCAGGGTTGGCGAGGACAATACAACTCAATTATCACAGGAATGAGACTAGACTTAGTTAGCCATCATGTTGTCATTCCTTCGGGCATATCTCAGCAAAGAATCTAGTGTTATCCCAGTGGCTTTCCAGAGGGACTAAGGTCCTGCTACCATTTCCTTTTACACTAATGCTTTTGCTAGACTTCCTCCAGAATCAAACCATCATATGGCTTGGTGAGGCCTGAAGTCCCACATAGGTAATACTTTGAAACATAAAGTAAAGAATGCCCTTCTCCACAATCTATCTCATTTATATTTAAAGTGAAAGTACCAATTTCCCAGTAAGGTATTTGAGCTTGGAAGATTATAAACTGTTCCCCAAGTGCTGATCACAGACCTATACATTTTCAACCTAAAGATGGGCAGTCGTTCTAAGTTATGCTAGATCTTTTTGATAAGCAAAACTTGAAATAAGCAGGTAAATCATATTATCTCCATCTCTGTGGATGATTCACGGTGATTCTAGGAGTACAATTAAGGTATTCTGACTCTAATAACAGTGATAAAACAAATGTATGTATCTGATTCAGTGGCTTTAGATTATTTAGAGCCACAAATATAATGTAGAAAGAAAAACCCAACAGGATAATTTACCAAATCCAGTTAAGTTTCTAGGTTCAATAAGAAGCAAGGCTAAATGTACATGTTTCTATTCTCTAAATAGTTACATACAAAAACAAAAAATGTGTAGAACGTAAATGTATAGTGTAACAAAAAATTATAGAGGGACCACACCCATTGCATCATCACCCAGGTAGAGAAATAAAAATCACCCCCGTAACTCATCCCCAATGCTTTGTCCTTTCAAGTCAAAATAATCTCTCTGTCCCTGAAATAAAATAATTGAGTTTTGTCTACTGTCAAAATGTATAGTAAGGGTAATCAATCCATACATTACCCTGACTTTTCTTTTGCTTGTATTTATTTTTTTATTTGCATGTGTATATGTGAACTTTAAGCTATAATGAACACTTTAATAAGTGTTTCTGGGAAAACTAGATCATTGTTAGGAAAATTAGAAAATTAACCACATGTATTAAAATTTGTATGGGAAAAAGTGACAAAAATTTGAGCAACAAAGTATAAACAATGTGGCTGACTTCGTCTCTATCTTTCGTGGAGAGGACATTTACTGTTGGACTGAAAATCTATAAGAAAAAGAGAAAATATTTTTAATACATTCCAGTGACATTTTAAATGTTTAAACCAAACATAAAATGGTAATTAGGAGAAAACATTTGGAATGTATACCAGAGAACAAAGGATAATACTCAAATATTATGTTTAATGATTGAGAGACTTCACTTGCTTGCTATATGGAGCCAAGTGCTATCATTTCTATTCCAGAAAGTTCTATTCAAAGAATATGAAACAATTTACTATATTTCTTTATTCTATTGCATATGGACACCTGGGCTAGTATTTTTGGCTACTATAAGCAATGCTACTACCTATGATTTGTACATGTCTCCTGGTGCTTATGTGTCTGTATTTCCCTAGCCTAGGATATATGTGCAGGATTGGAATAACTGCATTATAGGGTTTCAAAATTCTAAACTGATTGTGTACATGTTTTACCTTTGTCTTATAAAATGCTTAAATGTCTCAATTTCACATTCTTATTTGTATGGCATCCCAGAAGAAAGACCATAATTTACCTTGGCTAGTGTTCTATTGTCAGGAACTGCTGTCACGTCAAAACGAAGGTCGCTAGTCAGAGGGAGCCCAAAACTCCAACCTCCATATCTACATAGAGTAATGAAATTTATATCCGTGTTACTGAATAAAATCTTCATAAGTTGATCTGAGATGCTTAAGTAGGAGTTCAATGTTTTTCTCTCCATTAGGAACACATTTACAGTATGAAGTAAATACTGCCTGACAGATATTTTATGTTTTATTGATTCTTCTTATCGTATTTCAATCTCAAGTGTACATTACAACTAAAGGTAAAAACTCCTTCTAAACAATTGCATTTTAGCAATGATCTCTCTGAAAATGAGTAACATATAATTTAATCATTTTCTCCATTTTAACTGAAACATGCATCATCTCAAAAATCTTAATGTATTAGTGCTTAAATATATATTGTAGGTAGCTACTTCTAAAGTGGTATAATATCAGTTCTTAACTTTTTTTAAATGGCCCAGTTTCCTCTATGCCTCAATCTTTTTCCCCTATGTTTTTTCTTTACTTGGATGCTTGAAGATAAACTAGATTTAGCTACTTGACAGTTCATGGTCTCTAAAAATTAGAAAGTTGATTTTTAAAATGCAAGCAGTAATTTTAAGAGTAGGCACCCACCAAATTAGGGTCAGTTTAACAAAAAGTAATGGTGCAGAATAATCTTCTTGAGAGTATAATTCCAAATGTAATGCTATGGAGCTATAGTTTTTGACATATAATTGACAACACAGTTATTAGTCAATTTTTAAAAAACTGTAGGTTTTAGAATAGTCTGTAATAAACTCATCTTTAATGAATTATTTTATTATAAAATAAAATATTTTATTTGATTATAATACCCATAGTTACTGACAATATTTACATTTACATCTGTCACTAGCAACTTTCCATAAGGATACACACCAAAATGTTAATAGTAATTACATCTGAATGGATATATATATATATTTTTTTTTTTTTCTTATCTGTAGTTTAAAATAATTTTACAGAGAGTGTTAATCATTTTTGGGTACTGAGTAATAAAGGAGGGAAGAGATGGAGAAAAAGAGAAAACAACAGTGATTGTAAGCTCATGAATTTTATACACATGGCAAATGACCAAGTGGGTTAAGTCCGTGGCCTTGCTACACACAGGAACATTTTGTCCATTCACAAATACACTCTCAAGTTTTGGGATGTTCTTGTTGGAACTAAAGTCATTTTTCATTAAAGAACATATTTTAAAATTCTGAATAATCCAATCTAATAAATAATTCCTCTTTTGCTTCCAAAAATGTACAAATTTAACAATACATTTTTGACTCTTAAAAAAACCAACATTTGTTAATTTGTTCAAATGAATCTTAATTTAGTTATTACTTAAATTTGAATATATAAGATTGTTTAGCCAAAACCAAGAATTTAACCATGTAAACAACAACTGCACTCATTACCTCAAGTTTAAATGTCAGTTACTATTAAAATTAGGAAGCAATTCAATTATAAAAGGAATATTTTACCTTTTTTGGGAAAACTTATTGGCAGTTGAGATAAGATAATTTTCCATGTGGCGCCCAGTAACAGTAAGGTTATAAATCATTTGGGAAGAATAGGTTCTTCTATGAGGTGGATAATAATTAAATTTAGGACATTCCTGGAAAATGAAAAATTAGATTAAAAATTAAGTTTTCTCTGGCTTATACTGCACAAATTAAGTAGATAATGACAAGGAGCTTCAGCCTAATAATTTGTCTATTACTGCAAATATTGGATAAAACTATCCTTGATTTTGGAGAAGAAGTCGTCTTGCATATTGCCAAGAAATCAAAATAGTTATTGCATATGTAGAACACATACATATAGTTATATATATAGAACATATATATAGTTATTATATATGTAAGCATATACATATGCTTATGACTTATAGCCCAAAAGAATACGAGTTAACAAATGTGTGCTGCTTCATTCACTGGGCTGAAAAGGAAATATTTTTGAAGAATAGCATTAAATATTTAGATGACTCACAGTTCCCTTAATAATTTACAGAGAAATGGAAAGTATTCACTCTAAATTAAAAAGATAACATTACCAAACATAACTTCTCACTGAGTGACAGCTGTGGATGTAAACTTCATGATACATTACTTTTAGATACTTAACTTAGATATTTAAAGGATCTAACCTAGTTACATATATTACTTTATCTGTATAGATATATATTACATATAAACTTTTAGTATGTAATGCTTTTATAATTATAGAAAAGTAGGGGCTGGGGATTTAGCTCAGCAGCACAGCATCTGCCTGGCAAGTGCAAGGTTGTGAGTTCGATTCCCGGTACCGGAAAAAAAAAAAAAAAAAAAGCAAACAAATTATAGAAAAGTAGAAAAGTTGTAAAAATAGTACAGAGAGTTCTTATATACCCTTTGGCCAGTTCCCCCATGGTGAACATTTACATTACCATGCACATTTATTTTGAGCTTGTTTTAAAACACTTACTGTTATGCCCATAGCTTTATGAACTTCATGACCACTTTCTTGTCATTGCCATGATATCTAGCCCAGGAAAAGTCTAGCACTGTCCAGTTTTTCCTTTCATCATCCCTTCAAACTGTGCCCTAGAGCCCAGAGGCTAGCATCACATGTGTGTTTCAAGAACCTAAAGTTGCACATTGCTCTGAAAAGTCAGTACTGGATTTAATCTTACATCTAAGTGTATCAACTTGAAGATCATGTTCCAGAATGGCACTGATTTCACATTTTAAGGAAGATACCCTTACGTCTACAATGCATTTTAAGCTTAATTTTTTATTAAATTATATTATGTATGTGACATAGCATACTGTTTCACAAATTTTGACAAATTGAACAGACTCTTATAATCAACTAAGTCAGAAGACAGAACAATACCGCCCTCAAGAGCATCCCTCATCATCCTCAAAGGAATGGACACAGATTAGTTTTGCCTGTTTTTATATTTTATATACATGGGAAAATATAATAAGTTCTACCTTGTGAGGCTTTTTTCATTCATCCTTATCAGAACCCTCCATATGACTCACACATACTAATTTTTCTATTAGGGTATGTGTGAGTTTTTTGCTGGTTTGCAGGAGTATTCTATATATATGATGTTCTGAATGTGAACCTTTTCTTGTGTATTGTGACTATCACCTTCCACTCTGTGGATTTCCTTTCTACTCTGTTAATAGTGTCTATTGATGCATATACAATATAACTTTTTCTCTCAAAAACCTTAGGGTTTTATCTACAGCCAATGTCTAATGTGCATAGCATCAGTTAGGTAAAGTGACCCATTGTTATTAACCCATTGACAATAAACTGACAAAATAGGCTGGAGAAATTTTAATCTACCATTTTTGGTAGATTAATAAAAATTATCTAGCTCCCCAATTGTGTTTGTTTCTTGAGTCAGGATATTGCTGTGTAGTCCAGGCTGGCTGTAAAGTTACTATGTAGGCCCAAACTGGACTTGAACTTGCAATTCTCCTACTTTGGCTTCCCAGTATTGGGATTACAGCCATGTACCATTATGACTTGTTTCAATTTTAAATACTACTTTACTTGATCTTACAATTAACTAAAGAAAATATATAGTGAATTTCAGAATTAGCTAAATTAGATGAGAGACTAACATACTCTGAATACTAGCTAAAACTAATTTTTAAATACTCAAGAGTTCCAAAAGTTCTTGTTGGATCCTAGCTCTTACTCTTAGTATCTGTCTTGTGTGAGAACGCAGAATGGGGTTGCATTTGCTGAATATATTTGCATTCTAAAATATTGTATCAGCTCAGGCTATACAATATGTCAATGTGAAGAAACTATTGAAAGATTCCTCCTCTGTGAGAAAGTAATTTGACAATATAGTAGCCTTTAGAAGCTAACAGTGATTTCTTTTCTCCAATAATCTATTAAAATATTTCTAAAGTTTGAAAATTGACCATAATAATTATACAAACTAATGTAATACAATGTTGTAATAAATTTGTATACTGTGTAGGGATCAAATCAGGAATCTTTAACTTCCCTACTGAATTTTCTTCTCCTAACAGTTTGATGAATTGATAAGCTTAGAAAACTAAGGTCTATTTTTATAGAATATAGGCTGAGTAAGTGATTGTTGATGTATTTCAGGAAGTGAGTTTTCCTGCAGGTTGGAGGCATTGCTTAGACATATCCTACAGGTGACTTACCTCCCAGCTGACAGTCTGGCTGTATTCTTATTATGACAGTTACAGCTACCTTTTGTTCTATGAAATGTAGAGCTCTCAGGTTACAACTAGACTGACACAAAAATTCATTTTCAGTTAGTTTCCACAAAGAGCATCATAGAATTCCCTATCTTTGGAAATTTGACCTGAGTTGAATTTAAAACAGTGAGCTGAAGTTCAAAGTCAATATTTTTGAGCTGTGCAGGTCCATATATCTGAACCACTAGCATCCATATAATGAAATTATACTGACTCTTTGGTAACCTGGATAGATCTTTCAAATTTTGATATTAATTCCTTTCTTTTCCCTATTTTGCTGAAACTGAATTTCATTTTACCTGGATATTTTCTGAGCAGGAACAAACACCAAAATTAGTGATAGGCTCTCCACTGGTGTTCCATCTGTTCAGACTATTTTCCTTTAAACAGCGTCTGTAAATAAAAATGATATTAAAATAAAATGTATTATGCATCTGTACCCACCATACACATATATGTTCTCATGTTTACACAGATATACTTAAGCAAGTACTTGGTATAAATTCTAGGTGTATAGTCGTAGGTACAATTTACTGATTTTTCATAACTTGTATGTGCAATGCACTACTATTTTCAGGAGATTTGACATTTTGCATTGGGGGACTGAAGATCATTTATTGACTAGTGTTAAAAGCAAAGCTCACTGAATTGTCTTACAGTCACAGAATGGAGCTTTTTGTTCCCTTTCTTCTGTTTGTTCTTTTCATCCTCTCTTCTGATAGAAAGCATAATAATACACCAAGATCATCTTAACAATGTTAGGTAATATCTTGAAAATTTGAACAAGCTTAGTGTGAAGGCATGGGAATTGTAGTCAGAAACACTGGGTGTCAAGTTTAGCTAATATCTTACAATCTAGATTTCTTTAAAGAACTATCTTCCCTAGGAACCCTAGTTTCTTCATATGTAAAATGGGATTGAAATTTTCAGAGTTTGGGGCTGGGGATTTAGCTCAGTGGCAAAAAGCGCCTGCCTGGCAAGCGCAAGGTCGTGAGTTCGGTTCCTGGTACCGGAGGGGGGGGAAAAAAAAATTGCAGAGTTTAACTGTTCAATGTAAGTATGTATACAAAAAAGCTGGACATATTATGAGGCATCTGATGTTTATTATTACAGTATACTATAGCTAGGGAGCAAATGAAAGGAAGTAGATAAGATCTGTTAAATGGATTTCTACCAGGGCACTGATCTTTTAAGGCCAAGTAATGCACACCTACCCACACATCCATGAACACACACACAAACTGGAATGTTGAAAGTGAAAGAAAAAGAGCAAAGGCCACTCACAAATCACTGCTGTTCAGACAAATGTTGTCAATGCCAGGGAAATCCCACATTGCTGAGACCAGCGGTTTTGTACTTGAGTCATAATTCCTGAAATAGTAAAGGCCACAATCAAATCCATTATCTTCCACTAATCTGTGATGGTGATGGATGTCCACAAACAATTTGAAGAGATGAAATTTTACTGTTTTTTTTAAATCTAGGAAAGACTCAATTTCCAAGGGAAAAAAATCTCACTAGGAAAAATGAGCACACGCCTTGTCATTGTTCTGTCATATGCATTTAGTGCTTACTTTCATACATATTGTGCCATGCTACAGAGAATTCTGACTTTGCTATTCAATATTAGTCAGAGCAATAAACATTATTAACTGTATAATGCAAATGATAGAAATCGCATACAACTTGGCCTTCTTCATCAAAGTCTAGTCATTAAAATAAATATCTACTATAACCTTATTGTTAGATAAGTGTAAACATTCTTAAAGAGCCATTTTGGGCCATAAAAGTAACATACTGTAATAAATTAAACTGTTTCTTTCCTAGGATTAATATTGTGGCTCCAATGTTCTCTATTCTTTGGCATTCTGTGAGATTCAGTTGGGTACGACTGCTATTCTGGCAGCAGTGGGGAAGCATCCTTTTAGTTGACAGAAGGAAACTCACGCGTAGAAGGCTGTCTGTTCGGAACCACCATAAAGAGAGGGGGAGATCTGGATCTCGGGATAACTGTTGTTGGAAGAGCGCAGTGTGCCGAGGCCCATGGCCGTGGTCACAAAGACGATGGGAAGGACCACCTGTGCAATGAGCCCCTTCCAGTTCCTGCGCGTGTGGTGGAACCGTTTGATGAGAATGGCCATTATCTTCTTCAGCAGCAGCCTACAACCGTCCAGCCGCTCTCCTCTAGTCAGGACTTTGTCTGATTAAGAAAAAAATTTGATATGGTTCTAGGAAATTCTTTTATTTTTTCCTGTGCTAGAGGTTGAATGCAGGGCTTCATACGTGCTAGGGAAGGGTTCTACCACTGAGCTACACCTCCAGCCTGGTTCTAGGAAATCTCAATAAATCCTGTAATAAACTTACTTCAGAAATTCTGGATGAATGGCATGGTATGGAAAGCTTATATTTTAAATATTGGATGGGATGTTTAGCAATTCATCTCTCAGTGGTCGTCTATGCCCCAAATTGAGGACCATAATATCATCTCATACACAGCTAGATAAAGGTGCTTTAAAAATTATAATTTGCTAGACACAAAATATTATTAAACCTCTATATGAAATAATTTTACATGGAAAAGTTAGATACTGAAAATTTCATAAGTGAACATTATCTCCAAACTCCAAGTCTCAATGCAAACTATCAGTATTTATTACTAATTATGAGTAATCAGGAAATAGTTTCCATGAAGAATCTAAATTTAAGTAAGATAAATAAAAAGTAAAACACCAGTCTAGTCAAAGACTTCATTCCTATTGCAAGTAACTTTGTGATTGTAAGTCTAATTGTTTCTAATTCTAACATGAGGTCCAAAAATTCACCCATGGGTATGAAGAGGGGGATTCCTGTCTTCCAAAGTATAATTCTAGTTCAACCACTTGTTCATTTCATTCTCTTGAGAAATTTGGAATGATTATGGCTTCCTAACACTTCATTTTTATGAGTCTCAAAAAGAACTCCCTGAAAAACAACTTAAGTCTCTCCCCTCCTTGAAATGATCTTCAGGTACTGAAAATCATTCCATGCTTCTGAAAGTCAGGGCAGCTGTAGAAGCCATAACAGCTCTTGTGGTTAACAATTGCAATACCTCCCTCTAAAAGTAGGTTCAGATATAGCACTCTCTCTACAGGCCTGCCACCAACCATGCCTTCACACATCATAAGTTGATGGTATTCGTTGACCCTGTGTATATTTTTAATTTTCCATCACAAATTATACAGCACAAAAATCATGATCTTCATTTAGCTGATAAGGAAAACTACAAAGCTGCTTAATTTAAAATGAATTCCAATTAAACAGAGTGAACAAGTTTAAATGCAAACTCATATCTCTGCAAAAGGGAATTGTGGAAGGTACTGAATATTTTTGAGTTAATTAGTATGCTTTTCTGTTTCTTGAGAAATTACATGCGGCTGACTTACAGGTGTATCAAATGGAGTAAATGTGCTTTCTCAAAGATAATGTCAATGGGGGGAACATTTTGACTGATGAATAGTTTCAAATTATGAGGCAAATACATAGCATTTACTTCCTGAAGCAGATGACCACTTTCTAATCAAAGTCTTCAATTCTGTGGACTGTACAATTATATTCTGCAAAAGATGATAAATGAGGAATGTGGCAGAGGACAAATGAGCCTCAAGTTCCAGAATTACACAAACATCAGAGATTATCTTTTTTGAGTTTTAGAGACAGGCAAATGTTTAATTAAAAGTTCTATTCCTGGAGATTTTTCCTAATTTAAGCAAACTGTTGAAGTGACTATTGCATAATTTATATATCATTTTACGACATGCTTCCTTAAGTAAATAGTGTTTCTAGAGGTATAAATTAACTGTCAGAAAGAAGCTAAGTGACAAAAAAGTTGCTTTAAAAAGACCTTAACCTTTCAAAGTTGTGTCAAGGAACAGGGTTTGAGAACATACACCATGTGAATAATTGAGGGGAAAACCTATTATTACAGCTATTTAACCACTAAGTCCAACTTAACCAATTTAGAGTCCTTCCCCCAAAAGGATTTTCTCATCCCCTGAGTTACTCAGAGAAGGGGGAGGGAATTAAGCAAAATATCTAAATTAGGTTTATACCATCTCTGTCTGTGAAGTTGCTACTGCTCACAGATAAATCATCTGGAGTCGAGATGCCCTTGGTATTGGAATTCCCAATTTTCCGTTGTGTTAAGTGCTCAAAATTCATATCACCATTTTTCTGTGACTCTTTAGTCAAGTTCAGGAAAACCTAGAAAGAGAAGCCATACAATATCATTAACATCAAAATGCATATCTCTGCTAACTTCTAAGTTTAATTTTGATTTTGAATTTTTGTTACATTTTGAGACAAACTACCTGACTTTAAGAGAATATTTTCTTATGTAAAAGATGGGGGTTCTCTTATTTGGGCAACACCTTAATCTCAAAATCAGTCTCCCGTAAGAACAGTACTGAGATAATTTTAAAGTTTTCTGATTGGTGAAATATTTATTTATTTTAAAATATTTCTTTGCTTTTTAAAAATGTTGCACATAATTAATATCCAAATGGGGAAATCTGCATGCATACCTCTTCAACAGTGGTGTCTGAAATGCCATAGCACCCAATGTTGAGGTCACCCATGCCCTGGTCCAGCGCTCTTAGGAGTGACAGATAGGCTCCCGAGACTTTGGTATTAAATGGAGGAAGCACATAAACAAGCTCTCCTCCAAAGTCCTCTTTGAGGTAGGCATCAGGGAGGTGGGATCTGATCATTGCTGTCACAGCCATCGTGTCACATGTTGTATTCGAATCTAGACTTGGACTCTAGAAACAAAAACAGAAATTGAGCATTGTCCTTTATATACCATTGTGCCTAAGGGCTCTAATCAAAGAGTCATGCATTCTTGTTGGTCCATTCTAGACCTGAGTGAGATCACATATCACTCCTCTGGTACCTCCCTGTCTCAGCTGGGGACCTTGTGGCTGTCTACAAGTCACCATTCTACCCAATTCACTCTCCTGCCTCACTTTGTCCCTTTTCCAATTTAATTGTCCGCTGTTTTTCCTCTACCTTGCTCTACTCCATTCTTTTTATGTTGCTAAAGTGATTAAGACTCAGGCATACACTGTTCTCAGAGTCTATGTAACTGCTATTCCTTTCCCCTGGGTACAGCAACATGTCCCATTTCTCACCAGCTCCAACTCAGAGATCGACTGTCACTTTCTCTGAAAGCCCATCTTTACTACCCTGCTTAAAATATTACAGCACTCAGCATTTCCTCTTTCCCCTCTCCTGGTTTATTTCTATCTATAGCTATAGAGATAAAGACACTAACTAATATACTAACTCCTAATACATTTAATAATTTACTCATTGACTATATTATTTGAACCTCTCATGCTCCATCAGAATATAAACTACCTGAGGCCAGAGATTTTAATTTAATCAGATCATAGATATACCTCCAGTGTCTAGGATAATGCTTGAATGTATTATAAAGTGTACTATGCCCCCAACAAATGTAGCTTTGAAAGATTAATAAATAAAATAATGAGTAATTTTTAATATATTAGAAGTCCAATCAAAATGATTTCTGTATAAAATAAACAGTGGTGCTCAAAACCTGCCTAACAGCATACTCATGTTGCCCAGTGTTTTCAAATCATATGCTCTGTTAGATGGTAGGGAGATTTTTAACAGCATTACTGTCCTTCAAAAGCTGTAAATGTTCTGCTGACCTGAGTTATGGTCTGCTTGAGTTCTCCAGACTTTTCCAAAATGAATACATGACTTCTATATTACCTTCATTTGTTTTTGATAAGCTAGAAAATTTAAATTTAGCTTTGCATGCTGACATGTTAGGGAAACTAACTGGTCACCCTTCCATCAGTAATGTTAAGATGGAGATCACTGTTCACTTCCCCGTGATGGTGAACCTTGTAGAGCTGTCAATAATACAAACGGCTCATTGCAGTATGCATGCCATGGGTTCGCCACCGCTGATACACTTTGTGTCTTCACATGCAGTCCCCAGACAAGTGGCCTCTGCATCACCTGTGAACTTGTTAGGCATTTAGTAAATTCTCCAACCCAAACTACTGAATCAGACATTCTTGGGATGGGACTAGTTACCTGCGGTTTTACCCAAGATCTTTAGTATTCTGAAGTTCAAGTCTGAGAACTGCCAAGCAGGTTTATTAATCAATTTTATCAGTGAATAAAGTTAGAGAGGGTCTGCCTCTGTTTTTTATAAAAAAAAAAAAAAAACCCTTAACCCCACAGTGAGGCATGTTTTCTCTTCTACTGACCTTCTTCTTAGTGAGTGTGAGGTGGTACCCATCTCCAAATGCTTCCTTGAGGTAAAATGGTGACCCACAGCACCGCAGCCCACCCTGCTCTAGGAAGGCAATTCGGTCACTCAACACTTCAGCCTCGTCCAAGTGATGTGTCGACAGAATGATTGTTCTGGCTTGAAAATATAGTCGAGAACAACAGAGAATAAAAAATGAAGACACAGTTCCCAAATACACAGAGTTTACAAAAGTATGACCATGGTATTTGAGAAAAGTCATGTTTTATGAGCTAACTAAAAACAATGAGCACAAGGAAATTCCAGAATGATCCAAAGATGTGTGCTTAAATATTTAATGGTGTTTTTCACACAAATTGGCAGCAAATAAGCATTTGTTATGCCGTGTAGCTAATGTCCATTCCATTTGCTGGGTAGGCCTGGGCAACACTAATCTGTCAGGATTTTGCTCAGGTTTTTTTTATTACATGTCATCTTCCTTTCTCTTTTCTCCTAAACTTCATGATGGAAAAGTGATCATTTTAAAGGCTTTTTGAATATTCCTCTCTGATTAATCCACTCCAGCCTGATTACTCCTTTGCTTCACATCCTGTTAGCACTTATTTAGTCTGTTTTCAGTTTATTTTCATTTGTGTATGTTTGGTGTCTCTAATTAGATTCCAAGCTCCTCTAGGCAGACTTTGCTGGATTTGCATGTTCTCAAAAAGGCTAGTTAAGTGCTCAACTCACAGTGAACATTAGCTAGACATTAACTAATTGACCCAGAAATTTAGCTGAAAGAAGAGAGATCTTGGAAAGAGAAGAGTCCATCTTAGACATTTAAAGGACAATAAAAACAGAAAAGGCATCTTGCTTTTGTGTATCCCAGGAGGCTGAGTGATGACTATTGAGTGGAGAAGCTGTGAAAGAGCACTCATACCAGTTTTGTTCTTGGATATTACATCCCATATGCTTCGGCGTGAACATGGGTCAACTCCAGTGGACGGTTCATCCAAAATCACAACACTCGACCCACCAATGAGAGCTATGGAGATAGACAACTTCCTCTTCATCCCTCCTGACAGCGTTCCAACTCTCTTGTGACGATGGCTGTATAGTCCGGTTTCTTTCAGAGTCCTTCAAAAAGAGTGCATGGTAGTTATTTTTTCCAGAATCTATTTGAACATTACAAAAGCACAATAAATACACTCAGTGACAGATACATTTGCTTAGCAACTATTGTGTACTCATTCAGGTGCAATAGACTTCTGAGAATTCAACTTTTCTATTGTTTATTATCTACTTGGAGCTACTAAAATTAATACTTTTAAAAAAACACAAAGGAAATATGTAAGCCATTCATTTGGCCATTGCTTATAGAATATCTGCTTATTTTGTACCAGCTCATTTTTAGTGCTAAAGAAAAGCAGTGGGCAAATAAACGTTCCTACCTATAAGTAGATTTTGTTACAGTGTGTGCGCATGTTAGGAGGGATATGGAGGAAGATTCAGTCTATAATATATTGTCAAGCAAGTTTATAATGACTGCAATGCAAACTAAAGAAAGCACATTATGTATGTGAGATAAAGCATGACAAGAGCATGTTACTTTAAGCATTTATTTTACATAAGACACTCACTTTTGAGAAGGTAAGATCAGAGTAGAGACCAGAAAAGTGGTTAGTAGACTGAGATGAACTCCAAGGGCTGACTGGAGAAGGGAACTACAAATTGAAGGAAGAGTAAATAGAAAAGCCTGAGGCTGGAGCAAGCTGAGCATATATGGTCAAATGTGCAACGAGGCCAGAGACCCCCAGGTAGAGTGAACAGGAAGAAAGTGGTCAGAAAAGACATGAGAGATGAGGCAGGGGAAAGTTCATGTAGGGCCATGGAGGCCTTGATCATGACACTGCTGAGTTTTCCTGTATATTGTGTGTGGCAGGAAGCCACTTGAGGCCACACAGGACTGACTTGGCCTGAATTTTAGTTGAAAAAGAGCATCCTGGCTACTCTTTAAAGAACAGCTTGTGTGAGTGGGAGGTAGAAGTCTTGAGTCCAGTTAGGAGGTTAGAACCAGTGACGTCACCATGTACATTAGAAGCAGTGCTTAGGTCAATAGCAGAGCCAAAGAAGAAGAGTGAAATAATTTCATAATAATTAGCTGATGAGGATAATGCCATTAAGTGTATATAGTGCCAGAGAGGTAGAAAAACTAAAAAGCAATTGATTTGTGGGAAAACACTTCCTACTGGTATTATTATGAGTTGATCAACTAACGTGTCTTTCAGAGAGGTTAGAAGCTCATGTTCTTGTTCTTGGCATAACTCACTTTTTTACTTCTTCGTGGAGCTGTTTCTTAGTCCAGTGAGGAACTTTGATGGAGCCGTACAGAAGAAGGTGTTCCTTAGTAGTAAGGTAACTGAACAAGACATCGTGCTGCATGCACACGCCCATGTTCTTCCGAACAGTGTCTAGGTCTGTTTTAATATCTTTCCCATACACAAAGATGGTACCAGCAGAGGCACCAAACAACCCAGTTAACATAGAGCTGGAAATGAAGAAATAATAAATCAGACACAGACCAAGCATTGAAGCTAAATATTAATAGCAAATTTATCTCATTTGTTAGAAAAAATTGTTATGGTGTATCTCTTCAAGGAGGGTGAAACTATGACACAAAAGGGTATTACATGGAAATAAAAGCTAAAACTTACTTTTAAGCTTTTAATAATTTAAAGTATTGTATAAACATTGTGTGATGGTGGTGGTAGCAATAAGGATAAAAGGGCTGTGCTCTTTATTGAAAGTGCATTCTCTCCTTGAGAAAACCTGTATATTCCCCTGGCATCCCATAGTATAAGCTCATAAGTCTCAAAGTTATGTCCCTAGCCCAGAATCCATCACTTAGTTCTAGGCGTGTTTTGCTCATGCAACAGACAATGCCACTCCGTGAGATGCTTACAGGTCCTCCAATTCAACACGATCTTTGGCCTCAGCCATATCTTCATTGACTTGACCTCTTTCCTTGTGTGACAAATTCATACACTGGATTACAAACCAGGAAATGAGAATTCACTTTTACACCCTCCTCTTATATTGGGGTACTAACTCTATTCACATTTCTCCATTTTCACAACCACAAATACGATGTGCCCCGCCCATGACTATAAGCTCCTAACTCTTCTTCCCATATACTCTTTGGTCATCTCCTGTCCTGTTCTCTATGCTGTGTCTGTATCTTCCCACCTAGATAATTCCTGGTCATCTTTCAGAGGCTTAGTAAATGGGCAATTCCTTAATATTCTCCTCACTCCATTACCATATAAGCTCCATGAGATCAGAAAAAGGACCTACTTTCTCACCACTCTGTCATAGTACTTAATAAGGATCTTGCCATGAATACTTCTGGGTTAAATAGGGACTCAATATCATATGCAATTTCCCCATAACATGTATTGAAATACAAATAGCACATTTCATTCTGTAAAGTTTGTATACAGAACTATCAAATGGGCATCCTCAGATAAAATTACAGGCTCTTTAAATGTCTTCTCTTCCTTTTCTTCACTGTCCTCTTATTTCCAACTGGGAGTCTTGCCTTTTAAGCATTGTATTCTCAACAGAAAGCCAGTTCTGGCTTTAAAGAGGTTGTGCAAATAAGAGAAGCTATATGTTCACTTTTTTGACACCTTCCTTTGTCTTTTATTTACAAAAATATTAATGTCAGTGTTTTTACAGTCACTCAACTTATTCACAATGATTAAAAATAAGACATGCAACACCTGAAACATTTTTGTAAACAAAGGCCAGAGCATCAGTAGCACTTAACGCCAACTAAGCAGCTAAGCAAAGGTGGAGCACTGGAGACAAATCACAAAAATATTCAGGAAATTTCACTTTCATGACATTTCAATCTCTCCACCATTCTGACACAGGAAAATGCTACTTAAGTGAAAAGTGATAAAGAAAAGTGAGAAAGAAAGGCCCATGTACTGCTCCTTCCCTTTTAATCTATATCTGGTGATAATTTTGTTTCCTTCAGAATCAAAACAAGAGTTTCCTGGGGTCGAGGATACAGCTCAGCAGCAGGGCACCTGCCTGGCAAGCGTGAGGTGCTGAGTTTGATTCCTGGTTCCAAAAAAAGACAAGGGTTTCCAGCTGGAGTTTTGTGTGATCGTACTAGGATTTGCAAATGCAAACTTATACACGGGCCAGGATAGAATCTTAAACAAATGAAAGAGACATGGTGGATGTGACAGTATAAATTGGTGGAGACAAAAGATGAATCAGAAAGCAGATGTTCCCTTCAAGACAGCAATTACTAATGAGCCCTAACCAATAGTCTCTGCCTAAAAGTGTGAACTAAACATTTCAAAACTTTTTACTCTCTTAATACATTCCAGAAATGTTTAGTTTTAATATGAAACTCCTTTTAAAAATACTTGCACCAAATTAAAAATTTTAAGATATTTTGTACGGACCAACACAAGGTGGATAAAGTAAGTGTGCTCCATCTGGCCTTTGAACTGATAGTTTAGGATTTCTCCTTTGGATCCATTCCATAGCATACATGTTACGCCATGTTACTCCATCTGGAAATGTAATAACTTTATTTTCATAATATGCTTGTGATATTATGCATTGAAAAGTAACATACATGGTAGTAGTTTTTCCGGCTCCATTTGGTCCCAGCAGTGAAGTAATATGCCCTTCATAAAAGTTCAGATTGAGGTTATCAACAGCAACTTTTGTACCATACATCTTTGTTACTCCATGCAGGGCAACTCCAACTGGGAGATCTTTTGGTTCTGGCTCAATGTTGGAGGGAAACATGTGTTCAGGGCCTGGGGAGAAATTGAGGGAAGAGTTATAAGCTCACCAGTAAGAAAATACAGTTAGAGTTAGATTTTTTAAAATTAAAAGTGGAAGACTGTATAAATACAATCTTTTAAATAAGCAACAAAAGGGGCTGGGGATTTAGCTCAGCGGCAAAAGCGCCTGCTTGGCAAGCGCAAGGTCGTGAGTTCGGTTCCTGGTACCGGAGAAAAACCCAAAAAAAAAAAATAAATAAATAAATAAATAAATAAATAAGCAACAAAATCCAGAAACAAATGATCTATTACATACTTGTCTCCTTCACATGGCTACAGAATAAATGGTAGTGGAAAACCAAAGTCTCTACAGTTTGTATTGGCCTTCTCTGTTGGAAAAAAGCAGTTCTAGAATAAAGTATCCTAAGTTCTCCTTTAATTGACAGATTTTTTAATTGACAGATTTTAAATATTTTTAAGTCTAAGACTTGTCTGATTGGGCAGATGATATCAATTTGTGGAATAAATGGCTACAAGCTGTGATTTACAGTGACAAGACCAGCAGATCTGAGACTTACAGACTCCAGTTTGTTAACTGCTGCCTGAATCCCTGCAGGCATCACCAAAGGACCACCTGCACGGTCACGCTTAGTTTACAAAGATGACATCACTCATCCAGTGTCAGGAGGACCCGAGCTCGGAACTGTTTTTCTAGTATTAGTAACACATTGTGCTAAATTACCTGGATGTGTTACTTGGTTACTCCTTATGACTGGCGGCAGATGGCTAGAGTTAAGAGTACAAATTGTGGCCAAGGAACAAAATTTTTCTCCGTGTGAGTCTAACTGGATCACAAAGGAAAACTATAATCTTGGCCTAATTGGCACCATATGCTAACCAACTGAGCTAATGAGCCCAGAAAAGCCACAATTCAATCCCCGAAAGAGTCCAAACACATATGTGTGGACATATTCATCCATGACTAAAAGGATAATTTTGCCATTTAGAGGAGCGTAACTAAAAGTAGCAGTCATGTGATTTTTATATCATTTCTCTTAGAGTAATGAATGGCATTAACCTACTTGTCTTACTAGCAGATGGGTTGGTGTTCTGCATCATGATGTTGGTAAACATAAGGCCATTGCTTTTCTCACGCTTCACCTCTGCACATCCAAACCGCTCCTTCCAATAGGAAGGAAGAACTGGAAAATACCATGGCGCAGCCATGCCATATGTTCCTGTAATAAGGAAAGGGGGTTAGTCATTGGCTTTTAACATTAAGCATTGGAAATGAAACTGTGTATGGTTCAGGAGTAGTTTCATTTTTTTTGATACTGTACAAAACAGGTGGTTTCAGTTTTCAAAGTAGAGCAAAAAAGCTAACCTTCTAAAATTAGGGTCACTAAGGTGCCATTAAATGTCATAAAATATTCATATTAAGTGTATAGTTAGATGATTTTTAGTAAATTTATAAGGCTATGGCAGCATCACCACAAGCCAGTATTAGAATATCTCTGTAACTGCAAAATGTTATCTCATGCCCTTCGGAGAGAATCGCCGTTCCTACCCCAGGTCCCAGGCAAGCACTGATCTGCCTTCTGTCTCTCCACACAAGGAGTGATGGAACAATGTTGTAAATGTTTCAATTCTTTAAAAACTTATTGCAAGTGGGAAGAAGACCGAAAAATAGTGGGTGGAGGAGAAAGGCAAAGGGGCAGTAAGAAGACTTGGCATGTACATGTACCAACCCCCCACCGTGCGTGTAACTGTGTATTGCAAACATGTACTAATGCAAATAAAAAATTTTTAAAAATTGTTACAGGAAAGACACATTGCTATCCATCCCCCTCAAAATACTCCCTTTGCCCAACTGTTTATCCCCTCATTTGTGACGCTTTTCTGAAGCAGTGTCCTTCATGTCTTTAGGAGGTGAAAGAATGGTGAATGCGGGGTTGGGGATTTAGCTCAGCGGCAAAAGCGCCTGCCTGGCAAGCGCAAGGTCGTGAGTTCGGTTCCCGGTACAGAAGAAAAACCAAAAAAAAAAAAAAAAAAAAAGAATGGTGAATGCATCTGCTGACTACTATCTGGGCGAAAAGCAGGCTCATGAAGACATTACCTAATCTACCTCATCCACCTTATTCACCGGCTCTGCACTGTGCAACTTCTGGATCTTCCTCAGTCAAAATGACCTTGAAAGGTAAACATTTTGAATCGATTCAGGACACTCAGGCAGCCACGACAGTACAACAAGCCACTCATGAAAGGGACATCCAGAACTGCTTCAGAAAATTGCAGAAAGGGTGGTGTAAGTGTGCTCAAAGTGAGGAACAGTATTTTGAGGGGGAGTCTTATTTAAACGCACAATGTATTTTTTGGTCACACCTTGTACTCATCTTTTATAGAAATTCTATGCAAATGAAATCACATACTGCATCAAAATGTACAAATATAAATAAGCTTAATAAAAGCAACTCTCATAAGCATGTTAGAAAGGATCATTGTTTGAACTCCAGGAGGGGAGCCCAACTGGTCTTCTACTAGAATCTGGTCATTTCTGCTTAGATTTAGGAAAGTTAGTTTTTTCCTTTTAACATCTCACTCTCCTATTGCCTTGCCACTATCCCATGCGCCTTCATTTAGAAGAGTACCAGGGAATTCAGCAGTGTGCTACCTCTGAATAATTTTGTTTAGTTTTGGGGCTTTGGGGAGTTCTGTCTTGGACATTTTATATGGCAAATCGACTATTAGAATGTGTATACAAGCTAACTTATGATGGTGCATACTCATGCATCTGTAAGAATTGCGCTCATACCTGGGAAAACGTTCCTGACGTACCAAGCAATAAAGAAGTAGATGAAAGAGTCAGCTAGGATTAGACAGCACAGCCAGCCAAATGATGTGGTGTCATCCTGGACTGGGGAGCTGTACATATTTTCCCACTGAAGACCTAAAAAAATTGAACATAGATGTTTATTTATCTGTGACACGTGTCATAGTTGTGAAAGAAAAAATTCAGTTTTAAAGATGTGAACCTACCAATGCCTTGTTCCTCATAGCGTGCAATATACTGGCTCGCATAACTGAACGCTGTTGGGGACAGCAGGCTCTGGGAAGAGAAGGAAGAGCCATGATTGCTCTAGTAGATTTCATATATTTCACCTACAGCGAACTTAGTAGTGAATATGTCAGACATTTGTATAGACGAAATTGATGCTCACTGTCTAAGTAGATTTAAAAATACAAAAGTACCTTTACCAAGCATGCTACAATTCTTAAAAAAAAAAAAAAAAAAAAAAAAAACAGAGATGGAGGAGCAGAAAACACAAGCAGAAAAATCACAACTTGGTAAACACTTGTTAAAAACTCAAAGCATATTTAAATTTATTAAATGCTGCTCAGCAATTTATAAAGCAGGTAATGCAGAATAACAGTTTTCAGACTAAAATGAAAATATTAGGGGACAGAAGATGATTTTTTCATTATAAATTTATATCAGGTAATAGAAGCATTGTGAATAAAAATATATTAAAATATCAACTGGTTAAATATTGATAATTTCTATAAATTGCAAATTTAATTCTATAAATTGCAATTTTGTTTAAACCCAAGCAAGTCACTGCTGGGTGAATGTTATTCATCATTATCTATTTCTATAAAGGGCAAAATCTTAAAAAGGTGAGATTTACTTCTATTTTCTACATTTCAAAATCAGTAAGCATAATTCTTAAATTGATTTAATGCTTTTGAATGAAAAGTCAGAAAAGAACTCAGTTGATTATATGCTTTCAAAGCATGTCTCTTTATGCTTGTATGCTATATTTTATGTCATGGAAACCAGGATAATTCTTCATATCGGAGAATAGTTTCAATATTACAGCTTCCAAGATGTTTAAGGAATTGGAACAGGGAGGAGTCTTGACCATCTCTAAAACATGACATAGTCCATTGTGACAGAAAGGTGGATTGCCAACTTTTGGCTTAAGAGCCACTCAGGATTAATATAGCAAACTTTCTCTGTTTGTGTGTGTGTGTCTGTGAGAGAGAGAGAGAGAGAAGGAGCAGTGGGAGGAGGAGAATGAAGAGGAGAGGAGGGAGGAGAGGAGGGGGAGGGAAATGGAGGGAAACAGAGGAGAGAAAGAAGAGAAGAGAAGAGAAGAGAATGGGAGGGGAGGGGAGTGGAGGGAGAGGCATGACCTTGGGTCCATCACCTCCTCCTCTTTGGTAGCTGCCTGTGCTCCACTTTTCCACAGCCATGAAGCAGGCCTTTCTGCCTTGATGGTCCTGCCTTGGAGCCAACTTACCACACAAACTTGAGCCCAAATAAACCCTTCCTCCATCAGGTTCTGTATGTCCAGTATTGTTCCCAGCAGTGAAAGGTTGACTGATGAAACTATATTAACTATTATCTCTTAAGGAACTATTTCTTCGCTGCATCACTTATTATAATTCAAGAACCTGTGAGGGAAGATATTTCCTTTCCACCCTCTTGTGCTTGTACGGTATACAATGATGTGTGTGTGTGAGGGTGGGGAGGTATTATTAGAACAGTTATACTTATGGTGCTATCACCAAATTTTTAAATTTAAAAACTTGAACTGGAAGTTTGAGAATCTGGAAACAGACAAAAAGAGCCCAATCATCTTCCACATTGGCCATTCTGACAGATGACTTACCACAAATACTTTCACTACATAGCTCAGCTCATCCTCAACAGTAATCAGAACAATAAATGGAAAAAAGGCAATGACGTAAATGAGGCTTCCAATGAGAGCTGCAATGTTGGTGTTGTTGAAGAAGACACTGATAAGGTAGCTCATGGCAATAACTGAGAAGCTGTAGTCCGAAAAATACAGGAACAAAATGAACCCATTTGTTTTAGGAAGAATATTGCCAAACTTGAGTATAATGATGAGGATCGTGATGGTAACCAGTAGAAATCCAACACTCTCTATAAGCCAGGCAAAAAAATGGCTGCAAGAGTTCACACCCATCATCTTCATGTACTGTAAAGAGGGGAAAGTGTTAGCTGCTTCTTCTAGACTCATAAGTAACAATTATTTTTGCATTATGCCAAAATGTCCCTAAAACTCCATGCATATATTTAGAACCAGTCATTTTAATTATTTATATAAATCAAGTTCATATGTTTAATGTTTATACAATCAAGTTCATCTGCGAAATATCACTATTTACATGAGCCCATGTTGGGGCATCCAGCATGCCCCCAAACCATGAATGACTTGGATGGTTAGTCCTTTTTTAAAAAATAATTTCACCATAGGGCTGGGGATATAGCTCAATGGTAAAGCACTTTCCTGGCATGCTCGAAGTTTTGACTTTGACTCCCAGCGCCACAAAAAAAAAAAAAAAAAAAAAAAATCCTATTTTTTAACTGTATGTACCTGGTACATTTGGATTAAACTAATTTACAATAGATGGTCAAATTTATTATGTTCTATGAAGAATTTTACAACAAGAAATTGTTATTTTTGCAGGCATGAGTATTTTAAGCTGGTGAGAAAACATATATGATTATGTTCATTGTAAGGGTTAAGATAATAAAAATCCACAATTTGGGTTTTTTTCTTACTAAACATTAATGAACAACCCAATGTTCATGTTCCTGAGAGAAACAGAATATACATATTTCCTAAGAAATGAAAACATGGAAGCTCTGAAAGGAGACCCTCTGCAGTTAGCCAGCACTTTGCCATTCTTAACATCACAGGCAATCTAATGCAGGTTTGCTACCCTTGTTTTCCAAAGACATTCATATACCTGAAAGGAACTCAGGTATCTGAGATACTCTATATCTCCCTCTCAATTCATATAACTGGGTGATACACTCCAGGACCAAGGCATTCCACCGCCATGGAAAGATAAATCCACAAGGTGGGTTTGTGTACTAATTCAAAAGATTCTGGATGGACTAAACACCCTTAGACCTGGATTGTCTTAAATTTGATAACACCTGGTAATTTGGAAGTATTCTGAATATCCCGGTTTCTAGTTTTAACAATTCATGATTGATGTTAAATTTATGAACCCTATATTTCATTTTCAAAAAGAACACAAGAAATGCTCTATTAACAGCTTTATAATACAAGTTTTTGGCAGGATTTTTCAATGTTCCCTTAATTCTAATTTGTTTAGAAAAATAACAATAGCAACAGCGAATGCACTGCATCTTTTACTCTACAAGCAAAAACAGTGATTTTACTTTCTTCTTTTTTTTTTTTTTTTGCAACTTATCACATTTTGATAACTCTCCTACTCTTGTTACCATGGAGACAGCTACCTGACTGCCAACAGTCTAAGCTGTGGGCCTTAAGCTAATCACCACTGAGAAAAAGCCTGTGACTTTTCCTCTTAACTTAACCCTCTTCCTCGTCCTCTCTCCCTACTGCTTTTCTCTTCCTCAGCTGCTCCCCTTTGCAAGAAAGATTCAATGTATATTTCCATAGAAATGAAAGTGCGGATCAAAGGGAAGAATGTGCATAGAGCAAAAATTCACGGTGGAAAGATTGTCCCCAGTTATTTGGTTTGCTATTACTGAAAACAAAATCACATTTTGATGTGAAAAAAGATTTCATAAATCTTATTGCAGAGACTCCCTCCCTATTCCCCACTCAGTTTGGGAAAATTATTGTGTCATGTTTGATGACTACAATTTAGAGATACGTATCACTTCCAATATGATAATATAATAAATTAGCTCTTTATCTGCCCTTCCTACTATTCATATGTTGAGGTTTTTACTAAATTATAGCTGCTTGAACATAATTAAATGGTGTCATATGGACTCACATACTGCACCACCTAATTTTATGTAACCTGTAAAGAAGACCAGTCCCTGGCTGCAAAGTATATCGTGGGGGAGAATGTGAGTAGATTTCACAGGGTGACTGTCAAGTATTTGAGATGTATAAATGCCATAAAATAAAGCTGATCTCATGTATGTAAATATGTTTTTTCTTTGCTAAAGATTGACAGAAACAGTATAAAATATTTTTATGTCTGGAATATTCCCTCTTCGTAAACTTGTGAGAAGTTAATTTAGCAAGCTGAAAGTCCAGAACTAAAAGTGTTAATTGATGTACTTTTGAAATTTTTGAGGCTCAGAAGGAATTCCTATTCCTAAGAACTAATAAGAGTTGGAGACTGATCATTCTGCTCTTTATTAAAACAGGTTAAGTTAGGTGCTTGCACAAGCACTCAGTACTTCACACTCTAGAATGATATTTCAGTGTTAACCTTTAGGATTTTAAGCCATGAGAACAGGTCCTATCTACAAAAAGAGAGAGAGAGAGAGAGCAATAAGAGTATCTAAGGCATCCATAAATTATGCAGATTTACTGATGGAAGAGACCCACAGAGAAGGGCTGGCTGTGCTTTCTCAGATGCCATTAGTTCCCCCTCAAAGTGACAAATGTCACAGTGACAAAGTGACAAGTGTCAGCTTTGCAAAGAGTCACTTGTCCCAAGCCTCCCAAACCTGCCAGAGCAATTCATCAATATCTGATAACTGGTCACCCAAGGAAAATCCCTCTGCACAGTGGTCAAAGGCAGTCCCAGTTTAGAGCAGGAAATTTTAAGAATGAGATTCTATAAGACTTTGGATAAATGCATTGTCGCATTCATGAGAGACATGTACAGAGGAAATATTAATATAGAAACAGTCATAAATATTTACATATTGGCTTGACAGCCATGTCATTCAACACAAGTAGGCCAAGTACTAATTCATAAGGAATACTGGCATTTCTACTTCAATTTTTAAAATTCTCTTAACCATAGGTATTTGTATTATTGCTTTTTGGTAAGATATTGCAATCATTATTTGGAATGTTTCAAATTTCCCCTAATGTGATGGATAGTATATGTCAGGAAAGCATAAAAAGTTGTTTAATGTGAAGCCACAAAGAATTAAAAATCCTTGCATAGCTCTTGGTAACAGCCCACACATACCTTTGGTCACCTGTCTGAAGTGAGACAACTTCAAAATCCTACCCCAATTAAATATTAACACTAAAAATCTGATGACTAAGCTATTAGATTGAATAAATGAAATGGACCACAAAACATGAAAATAATTAAAAATCATTTTCTCTGTATGTTATAAAACTCAGCACTTTAGAGCTTTAAAGCAAAGAATAGAGACAAAAATTCACTTGAAAGGCATCCTAAAATAGTTTTTTTAGAGACAAGCTTAATTTCAAAAATAAACTTATTAGCCATTAGTGTCTGTGTTAATTTCAAAGGTAAAGGGATTCACTAGAGTCATACCATGAAAATGTCAAAGATTAATGGATTAGTGACTAACTTGGTTCTCTTGCTCAGATTTTAGAATAATTATAGAAAGAGATAGCTATTGATTTTCCTTACCTTTTTGGTTTAATATGAATGAGCAGCAAATAGAAAATGGACAGATTTATTACAACTGAATATAAAATAATAGTATTAAGAAGTGAATTTGAACTTTTGGTAAACTAGGAGATTATCTGCTATCACCCTCAAAAGTCTTTAAAAGTCTAATGATATTATAATAGGATTATAAAAGTGAAAGATCGATTGGATGTTGAGATACTGAAGTTCAATGCAAACATTCACTAGGTACATAGTCCTCAGGAGGTTCATCTGTCACTTTCTGTGCTCAGTTTTTTTATCTTTGAGGAGGTTAAATGTGAACTGTGGGTATAGAGAAAGGAAGAGAAAGAAGCCCTGGGGACATTCCATTTATGCCACACCCGCTACTTTTATGGATTCATTTAAAAAATACACTGTCTTCCTTTGAATTTAGAGAACAGTTGAATTTAAGATGTGCCATTGTTTTACATGCCACTAAGAAAGAGAAATCACTGCCAAGTAAGTCATGACACTCCATCACATGCATCCTGATTTTGGAAGCCTTTTTAAAAAGTATCTTAGAATTGATAAAATTTGGATAATACATGTAACCAAGTGCCTTTTCTCTCCTGAGAGATATGCATCCTGGAAATGTAATGCTGAATGCATTAGATAAAAAAAAAAGACCCATGGAGTTTAAGGGATTGGCCACCAGAGCACAAGCTGGTGGAACCCTAAGATGCAAATCCTGATACTTTGATTCTAAGTTCCATGGTTTTCTCACTATGTGACTTGAACTCCAAGACTAGATGGTTAAATTTTGAAAGTGGACGCTTAACAAATGCAAGCACAGAGATAGCAAACAGCAACTGGCTTACTGACAAAAATAGCTTTCTTTCACATCTTTAAGAAAGAGAAAGGACACCATTATGCTTTAATAATTTTTGGTGGCATGCATAAAAGCACTATATATAACACAAGATAATACAATGTGTGTGAATTACAGAATCATACACATATAAATTATAGTACTTATATGTGTATATAGACACATGTATAGTTGTGTTTACTGATTGTATCACAAGTTATATTTTTTAGGTAGATGTTTATTTTGAAGTAGAATAGAACTAAGGTTCTATTACAGTTTTCTACTTCAAAGTTTTCTTTTCAACCTTGGCGATTCACATCTAAGTACCAGGAACCTGAAAATGATATATAAGGTAGGAGTTTGCAATTAAATTAAGGTCCAGGGGATGGATTCAAGTTTCCAAACTGGGGTTAGGAGACCATTGCACACAGTCCTGGATACAGCAGGGGATAAATCAGTTGAGACATTAACCAAATTGTAACAGAGATATAAAAATGTGACTGTGAAGATCAACCAGAATTTAAATAGAAAAGGTAAGAAGTGTAGGTTCAAACACTGCAACAACCCTGAAAGCCTGATGCTCAACTAGCAGAAATATGAAGGAACATCTCTTGCCTTAAAAGGAGAAATAATCATTGCCTAAAAGCATTGGGTATGTCTGAAAAGTACAAGAGAACTAACAGGTTATTCTAACCTCATTATTTCACTCTCTCAGCCAGGTCTTGCAGTAATTATTGTGCCCTAGTTTTGAAACGCTTTGGCTTTCTTCCTACTCCATAAGAGAGTATAAGAATGGTCTCATTATGGGATGGGTAGATAAAATAATATCTATTCAAATATAATCTAAAACTGCACAATGCTTTATCATATGTTCTGAAAAGAAGTAAGATTTTTTTTGGATTTGAGGTTAATGGTAAAGAACATGCCCAAAGACAGATTATTCTTCACGCTCCTGGCCCTGTCTTCCATCATTATAGTATTATTAACCCAATCACTAGCATAACATGAAATTCTTCAATTGCATGAATTAGGAGTCACTGGGAAACTGAAAAGGTAATTGAAGGAGACAAGATATATGGGAAAGAGAATTTCCTTCTTGAAAGCTGAAATAAGCCACATGTCTGTATCTACATCTATGTTTATAGCTATATCTACCTTTGCATTTGTTTAGTTACCATGCTAACAATCTTTCTGCCTTAATAGTCATTATTGTTATTATTTAAACTTCTTTTGTTATGTCTTTTATTCTATAGATAATTTCTTGGGCACAAAATTATTGTTACGATAAGTATACTCACATTTTATTCAAGATTATTCAGATTTTGCTCTTCAGAAGGACTTATTAAGTCACTTATGTCACTTTATGAGGAAACAAAATTACCTCTGTGATTTGTAAAATGTTTGCTTTATTATCTAATTCATAAGGTATGGGTCAGGCTTTCTGTGTTTAGATAGCCATGATGAAAATCACAATAATTAACAATTCTATTAATAGGATGTATTCACAATAGGAAAAGATTTTTAACGTACCTCATGAAGCCGGAGGTCTTTCTCATAAACAAGCTTTTTTACAAAAACGGCTATAAATACAACCCAGGCAACCATGAGCACAATTGGAAGAGAATAAGAGACACTGGTTAGGAAGCTGTAAAAAAAAAAATCAAATGACTAATGAATGTCATTCTTGTAGATTGTAATACCTACATAAAGCAATACTCCCCCTTATATTGAAATTATACCCCTGTTTGGAAATTGAGAATAATTATCAATATTACCCTAATATTTATGAAGTGGGGAGCTGACTTAACAGTGGACTCATCATTTTCTTGCTGTAATGTTGCAAGACTGAAAACATAGCTCTGGATTGTTAAATAAAATTGCCACCTTGTTTAAATTATGTTTGAGAACATCTGATCTGAGAGAGTAATTATATATAGATACAATTGCAAAGCTCAAAACTCTTCTATCTATACTAAATTCTTGTCTAAAAGAGAGATTTATATTAGATGATGATTTGTTTATTCAACTACAAAATTACCCTATTTATCTACTCTTAGAAACCTCATAGTCATTAAGCTAAATTTCCAAAAATGTAATCTAGTTGATTTAAAATGTAGACCAAAAATTTGGAGTCCCCAGATGAATCCAAGGAGCTGTTTTATACATGATACGGAAACACCTTTAATTTTTTTTCTTTTTTGTCTTTTTGAGACAGGGTTTCACAATATAGTTCGGTTTAGCCTTGAACTCACTTTGTAGTCCAAGCTGGCCTTGAATTTGCAGCAATCCTCCTGCCGCAGCCTCCCAAGTGCTGGGATTACAAGTGTGTGCCACCATGCCTGGCAAGAAATGCTTGTATTTTTTTGTTTTTTGTTTTTTGTTTTTGATAATGCTAAAAAGGAGAGGGTAACTGGAAGACCTCATCAACGCCTGAAGTATTTCTGAGTGGTCAGCCCATGGTGCCTAAAAGGTCAGACACTGATTCTCAATGTATCAGAAGCACCTCAGAAACTTATTAAAACAAGTATCTGGGTACCATCCGTAAGTTTCTAATTAATTACATCTGAGATAAGTTAATGAATTTGCTTTTTAAACAACCTCCCAGGTGCTACTACAGTAGCTGGGCCAGGGAGTCATGGATCTGACAATCACAGCCCTTCTATAACCTGATGCTAAGGCCTCAGTTTTCAATGAAACTCTATACTAATCTGTTTTGCATCTGGGGCTCCACAGAAGCATTTATTTGGAGAAAGGTCCCATGGCCATTTCCTTTGTAATCCATAAGGCTGAAGAATTGCCTTGAAGTTTCCCAAGAAAAATGCAAATACTGACGGAACATGACCTCACAATTATTCATTGTCATTTTTCACGGAGAAATGTATAACCGTCAGAGAGATGAGGTACTTTGTGAGAGGAGACAAGTGGGACTTGGCTCATATCCTTGTTTGTTTGTTTCTTGTGAAACTGGCATGGGGTAGGCATTTATAAACATTTATCAAATGAATTTCTTTTTGGACAAGGTCCAACCTTGATGCAGTTTCTGACTCTAGAATTAGGCAAAGGACTCACTCATTAATACCAATTCTCCTGTAATGTTTCTTCTAAGCAACTGTGTTTTTTAGGTTTTATAGAGGCTTAAGAAGAAAATATTCATCTTACATTCAAAAGGAGCAGTGTAGTATCAGCTTTATATCTTAGTCAAGTTACTTAGCCTTTATGGGCTTTACCTTTATCTTGGAACTATGGACAGTAAGACCTGCTCCCACATAAGTTAGGAAATTTGCTGGGTAGAACAAATAAAGCATTTTATCTATAACAAAATGTTTATATGTACATATAGCCTTATGCTTATATCCTGTAAAAATGCAGAGTGCCATTCCTTTCATTCTTTAAAAAAATAGCCAGGCATCTACTATTTTAGGTTCTAAGCATATAACAAAGGCCTGGTGACTATATCCTCTTTCACTTGTTATCTAAATAAATGAACAGAAGTGAGTTCTCAAAAAAGTGCTTATTCATTAACAGTGGCTACAGATGTGCAAACTTACTTGTCTTTCATATAGCAGGGATAAGGAACTGCTTGAACCTGGACAGCTATTTCCTGTGAGTTTCTTCCTGTTTGCAATTCAATGATTGCTCTTTCAATACTATCCTGTAAATAAACAAAAGCCCTGCTGTAGATCTGGTTGTGTGATGGGGAATTGTGTGGCCCCGGAGCCCAAATCTTGGTTCTTATGCTTCTTGTTGTCTGAGCAGTCTTCAAACTCATGCGGATGGTGTACTTTACCACAGGAGGAAGAGAGACATTTTCAGAGTCATAGCTTCTGTACCAACTTCTGTTAGAAGGAAGCTTAAAAATAACACCTAAAAATAAAATAGCGACAATAAAGGAAAGGTTATTTTATGAGTGACATTATTTATTTTGTTCAGAGGGCACACATAAGGGAAAGCCAAACAGTCAATGGAGTTAGTAATGCCACAGTAGGTTCAGGCTTCTGATTTACAGAAAACATGGTTAATTGGGGGTGTCAATCTCAGAGAGTCAAAGCTGGAGTTGAAGAATATAATCACGTAACTCAAGGGCTAGATAAACTACTTTACTCTAAACTATTATTAACATTGCTAAAAAAAAAAAAAAAAAACCCTACTTTTAAATGAATAATCTCAACTGATTATGAGGATAATTTCACCTTTTAATTATAAAATCATTTTCATTTTTGATTTGAACTACACCAGTGAAATTAGACATATGTTGAAGTCTCTTCATACTTAGACAATGTGAATGGTTGACTACATGAAAGGTTCTTATTTGTAAGGGCACCAGAGAGGCTAATGACCTCTGGACTACTTTTCTGAGTTCTGGATGAAAGAGGTTAAAAAAAGAATTTGGCCAATTTTTGTACAAAGGGAAGCTCAAGTCCTAATAGAATAGCACTTACTTCCAAAGAGTTCATTGCTTTTGTAGAGCCTTTTAGCTTCTCTCTCCATTTCATCTATGGTTTCTGCTGCCTGAATACGGTCATACAATACACAAGAGGAAATATTTACTGTCAGGGAAGACAGTATGTTAAGCTGATCAATGATATCAATGTTGTTTTTTAATGTCAGTCTGAGAGTGTCTAAAGAACAAAGGAAAAGAGAAAAAAAGAGATATAATGAGACAAAATACTGATATTTTTGGCAAATGTTAAAAATTAAATAATATTGTGAGTAGTAAGACAATGTAGAATTTACTTCAAAATAACCAATATTCTATACCAAAGTAAATGTGTCTGGTTCTGCAAATACTCATTTAAGACAATATTGGGATTAGAGATAAATACAGTAAACGCTGGTTCAAAGTAAGATACCACAAAAGACAGATGATAGGAAGTAGGGAGATCTTCATATGTGAAGGGAAATGAGATCTTCTTCAAATGGGAGAAGGGGCGGGAATGAGGATGAAGAAAAAGGTAAAAGAAAAAAATGGACATAGAACTTTTGCAGACAGGAAGTAGATCAAGTGTAGGAAGGAACAGAGAAGGATGGGAGGGTAGAAGACAAAAAAAGCATGAAGATGTGTTATGTCCACTTACCAACATCTTACAGTAAATGTAATCATCATGTGCTATAAATATGTATTCATAATGAAATTTTAAGAATAAAGTGATATACAAGATCATTTAAAAGTATATTTTACAATTTGTTTAACAAAGAATTAACAGTGACTACAGTTTTAAAAATTCTATACATATTGTTAGAAAGAAAACTATAAATTAGAAACGAGTTTAAAATGAACAGAAATGTCAGCTTTGTACAAGAAATGTGAGTGAACAAGTTAAAAAACAGGAAAGTCTATAAAAAATGTGTGTAGAACCAATAAATTCTATCATTGCTTAATCTATGGTACAAAAACACTGAAAATACTCAAGGACCTACTACCTTTTTATTATTGCTTTATTTATAATCTTACATGAGTTACCTATATTGGTATCTGTATTAACCTTGATAAAATGATCAAGATTTTAATTTAGGTAATCACGCCATAAGAAAGAGGACTTAAAATTGCTCTTTAAGATCGTGATTCATTGTCAGGAAATCAACTGAAACAAAGGGCAAATATGAAATTGTAAGATAACGAGTCATTTGTCCATTAGATTTTTACTAGCTTGATCATCATGAATACTGAGAAAGCTGATGCTATCATAAATCCTTCCTCATGGAACGAAACATGTCTTTTACATCATCTGAAATAAGACTAAATTTTTTCTTATAGAAGGCAACTTCTTAAATGCATTTCTCATTAGAAATTAAAGAGAAGTGTTTCGCTTGATGCACATGCTGGTGGGGGAGGGGCAGACTGTGGTTGAAGAGTGGCCTCCAGCGGCTGTTGGAAATCAACATGTCAAAGAATTCTTTAGCAATGCTGCTGGACATAACCAAGGAAATGGATTGCGGAGGCAGTACCCCCCAAATTCAAAGTGTATAACCTCTTGGATTCTGAGTTAAATGTATAACTATAATATGTCTCATTACCATATTTATTTTTATCTTCTTTTAAAAGGACTGATAAAATTTATATAAGAACTTTATTATATAAGAATTTTGTTTATTCCTGGTACTTTCATAACATGGAGCCTTACGCGAACCATACTTTTAGAAAATAAGTCTACTGATATCCTCCTTTAATCCAGCTGGGTTGCATAAAACCACACAAACATAGTTTATGATTCCTCTCCCCTGGATTACTAAGTCATTTATGTCCCAGCAATGCTGGGGAGAAGGAGGAGCTTTGGCTCTGCATCTGCCAAATTCTGATGCTCTCAATCCCTTCCTCATACTTGTGGTTGCATAGCAACAGTGAATCAGACAGAGCCTGAATTAGATGTCTTGCATCCTTTAGGTTGAAGGTGGGAATGTGGCAGAGGCAATGCATAAGTTCAGACAGCTTCCTTTGATCCTTTGCAGCCCGTTCCTTTTAAATGACCATGAGAGGAAAATCCAACCTTGAATACTGATTTAGTTTTATTTTCTCCACATTGCCTTTGTCTTGCTTCTGCTAACTCTATAACCACCTCCAATTACTTTCTGGGTTAGTCAAGTGATTCGGAGGCCAGTGGAGATGAAATGTTAAATGCAACCAGAAATAAATCATGCTAGCCCCCTGTTGTCCTTAAGGACTTGCTTTTCAAGGTACCAAAATAGAAATGCTCTCTCATTTCTAACAACCTACCTATGATTAGAGAAAAAGCTGCATTTATACAGAATATGTTGCAATATAATTATTGAAGCAAACTGTGGAGAGTGAGTGTTTAATCATTACTGCTTGCCATTGTAAGTAACTGGAAGAAGATGGATGGATGGATCTGGGGTCTCGCTTTTCTTTGAATAGGTGGTTAGAAACTAAATGCAGAAGATGAGAAAGAGATGATCTCGCATGGAACTTCTTTTTTCCACTTTTTTTGTGTGACTAGTGAATAAAAATATAGCGCATTGGAACTCACCGAGTTCTTCTATCTGCTTTAGTAGTTCAACAGCATCAAGTCCCACAGAGAACTTTACAAACACTTGCACGAAAGGATTCTTTAGAGTATTCTAATAAATAAAAATAGACCATCAGTTTCAATACAACAAGAAAGCATACGTAATTATGGTCTCTCTAAAAACAACCATAGTGAAATGAACACTTCCGGACATTATCAATATACTATTTCACAAAGGCTCACATTCAAACCGTTGAGAAAGAGAAAAACAGTGGCTCGTAATGACTTGAAAGACTGGGCTTTGGTTCATGTAGACAAACTGATTAGCACATTAAAGTGGCCAGAGAAACTACACTTATCACCATTATCAAATTATATGCAATTTACGGTCTTTTTTCTCATAAATACTATGTTCTTTTTAATATACACCGTATAAACAGTGTTGTGGTTCATGTTTGAATTTTGTTCTACTGAAACGAATAAAAACAGCTTTTAAAAATCGTAACATCTACATGGAGTTTGACATCACAAGTGGTTTGTATTCAGGGTATTACTTCCTAACCGCGAGGCTTTTAGCAAGTACCCTGACCTTTTCAGCTCTAAGTTACTGTTCTGTAAAATAAGGAAAATGACTCATTTCATCAGAAAAGTCAATGTACATTTTTATAATATTGTTTTGTAGTACTAGGTATTGAATGCAGGGCCTTCATATTGAGCTATGTCCCCAGCTCTTATCTTTTTTTTTTGAGACAGGGTCATGATAAGTTATGAAATTGCCCAAACTGGGCTAGAACTTAAATTCCTCCTTCCACAGCCTCCCAGTGGGCTGGGCTTACAGGCAGGTGCCACAGCTCCAGGATTTAGAAAGTGGCGGTGTTGGGGACTGTAGGCAGGGCCTCGTTCATGCTGAGCATGCACTCTACCACTGAGCTATATTCCAAGTCCTGTTCTATTATTTTCTGTAGTTAATAGATTACAAAGCTGGGGTTAACGAATGACACACAATTCTTCTAAGAACATACAATTAATAAAGGTCAAGCAGAAAGCTGAGGGAGGAATTGAAATTAATTAAAATATTTTTGAGTGTTAATTCATGGCAGTGTTTTCATGTGAACTATTCTTTTTTAAAGAGAATAGAAAACAAAATAAAAACAATAAAGATAAAAACAATAGCAGTGAATTCTCACATCAGGAAAACAATGAGCACAAATAAACAACCTTATGCTTCAGCTGAAGCTTTTAGAAAAAGAACTATTCCTATACTGGTTAATCTTTTAGAACACAGATTGGTAACTCTTACTACTCTATCCATCATACCAATATCTTTTGTTTTAATTATCATGGATATGAGTGACTAAGAATAATATATGTTATTAAAACATATAGATAATAGAACTAACTTGCTATATCCATAGCTGTTGCGCATTCTAAAAGTAGTTGGTAGCACTTACGTGGCCATTATGTAGTTACATGCCGTGATAATAGAGTCCTTTAAAATCTCTTTACCAGGAATTAACTTGTGCATCATAGAAAATCCAAATCAAAGCATTAGTAACATGCAAAGGATTATGTTAGTTACAATTCAGAGATGAGCCGTTGAATCTTATTCTCATTCTCACACCATTCCCTTGATAATTAATCTTGTGATATATGATACTATTTTCAAATGCTCTGCACACATAAACTTTATAAGTTTGTGAAGTGGTTATCCAAATATGCATTTTAGAAATTCATAAACCATAGCTCAAGTACTTTAGTTCATCTAAGGACTCACAGTGACAAGGCCAGACCTTGTGATAAAAGCTTAAAATGTCAAATTACATGCATATGTTATGATTTGTGTCTAGATGTCCCCCCAAAGCCTTTTGTGGTCATAGGTGCAGCTTTTAAGAGGTATGTGAATCTAGAGTGTGTGATGCTGGGATTAAGTGTATGATTCTGCGATGAAAGGTATGAATTAATAAATTAGTTCAGTGCTTGGTTTGGCACAGCTCTAGGTATGGCTAATAGAAAGACCCACATTGGGTATGAGTGCTAGTCACCATAAGGGCATGTATCCTAGCTAAAATATAAGGGACAGAAAGAGGGCTACTGCAGCCACTTGCAGCTTTGCTACTTTGCTGCTTGCTGCCTGCTGCCTTCTGCCTGCCATGAACTGTTTCTCCTCTGTCATGCTATTCTGCTTTGGAGCTAGCCAACTCTGAACTGAAACCTTTATAAACTTTGAGCTAAAATCAACCTTTCCTCTCTTAACTTTAGTTGTCAGATATTTTGCCACAGAAATGAAAAAAGTAACTAACACATCATATTTACAGAATTGACTTTTTCCTCAATAACTGAGAATAACAACTTATATTTTTTTCTATGACAGAATAAAGATACTTCCATGAGATGATGATACATCTGTGAACATGGTAGCAGAGATTCTAACAAATTACTGCATTTTGAAACCATTATGTTTAGACCATGTCCTTTGTTAACTCACTTCATAGGTTTACACAAATTTCCTTAATAAAATAATATGTGATTTCCTTTTCCCTTTACAGAAAAAAAAGTTTTTGGAGAAAAGAGTAATCGTCCACTAGGGAAAATATTATACATATCAATAAAATTAGTTCAAAGAAGCCTTTGCTGAGAGTCACTAGAAAAGACAATTAAAATGAACATGTTTAAACTTAAAATCAAAATTCAATAGTTAATTATAGGAAAGATATTTGATGATAAAATTTCTTTCATTTTATATTTTAATGAATACAATAATAATAGTAATGCTTACTGTTATGTTCTTTCTACAATGTATTATAAAATTCAGATTGTATAGTAACTATGCATTCGTTTTTAATCAAAATAAAAACTAAGGAAAGCATCATTTGGTATAATTTTTCTTATAAAGTTCTGCAATTCAAGTCATTCATTCTGTATTTAATTTCCTCCGCATTGTGATAAAAGGAACTTTTTTGGCAGAAATATTCAAAGGCTTCTCTTTGTTATGTAAGCCATCCCCCTTTGTAGCTCCTATATTGTTATCGTTCCTGCCAATTTTCTGTTCCTTAATTGGTAACTGGACTTGCTCTGCAACTCCATCTTTAACTGTCAATAGCTCTCTTTGTGATTGAAACATTTCCCTGATTTATTTGTATTATCTTTAGAAATTCCTGTACTTTTAAAAGAGCTATAAATTACACCTTTTAACTAACGTGCATTACATTTTAGTAGCAATGTCAAATCTTTAACTTACACTAGAATGAGCACAAGGATTGTTTGAGTGTCAACTAAATATTTTGAAGGGGCAATTTACTACAGAATATTTGCTAGGTATAACTTTTAACTAATCACCTGGCCTTGAATTAAGACACTTAGATAGCTACTTTAACATGAATAACTTGTATATAATATGTTTAAAATATTTTAGAATTTGTAAATACATATGTGATGTGTTTCAAGAACTCCCTAAGTGTCATGTTCTTTAAAATATTGGTGTTTTAAGAGTTCTAGTTCAATTAAGACAGAAAACTATAATTTAAGGGAGAAAAATGAGTTTGATATAATAGAATTTTACTTTTGAAAAACTGATTTATATCCCTAGTTGTACACAAATTTGTAAAGTGTCTTAACTCTGAGTTTTAGAAAAAGGAGATGTAGACCAAGAGGGTAAGGTGACTAAGGCTGAGTGTGACAGGTCTGTTATCCTGTCTCAGACCTCCATTCTTGAGAAGAGGCAATTTTAATATGTTAAAAATGGATGCTCAGTTACTCTCTGCACTTTCACATACTAAAGGCAATTAAAATATCAAAGAATTGTAATTCTTATTAAGGTGAATGACAGAAGTGTCTCATACCTGAAGCATTGGAATTGCTTGATTCATCAAATAGAAGGAATTCATAACAAGTGGTGACTTATCCACCCACTCTTGAGATTTTTCTCTTAATTCTGCCAGCTGCCTCAAAGTTGCATTAGACTTCATGACAAAGAAATGAAAGAGGTCAGGTTCAATGGCATTTTCCTACATTTCAAAATTATATCTTAACGTTATTTTTACTTACTTTATTACTAAAAAGCAGTGTTAGTAAATAATTACTTTATTACTAAAATGTAGTGTTAGTAAATAATATTGTTAGAAATTTTCTACATTGCTGAAAGTCTTATATGACAGATTTTATAAGGGTTAAAATCATTTATAAAATTATGGAAATTTTTGGGTTTGACTCATGTGCACAGTGAATTTACAGTAAAAAATGAGAGTGTATCTTTGGGACTTCTCACAAGTTTTTCCTTTTTACCAGCAATACATTTACCTTTGGTGCTAAAGAACATTCAATTTCAAAGAGATAAGAAAGGTATTCTTACACACTGAGAGTGGGAATGGATACGTTGCAGCCATTTTTGCAGAACAATCTGAAAACAGCTATTAAAATAAGATACCATATCCTTCAGTCTCTGAGTCCTGACTATTTATCTCACTAGGAAAATGAAAGTACCACTAGGTAAGCACAGACTATTTATCTCACTAGGAAAATGAAAGTACCACTAGGTAAGCTGGTTGTTGCGACATACACACTGTTTATGTTGTAAAAAGAAATGTTAGGAAAAAGGAAAAAGAAAAAATTGGGAACAAAATGGCCAACAATTGAATTAGACAAGTGAATTTCTTGTCATGAAAAAAATTGGTGATGTTTAAAAAGAGTGAGTTAAACTATGCTTAATGGGTTGGATGAATCTCCACAATGTATTCTTATGTGAGAAAAGCAATATGCAGAAAAGTATTATAATGCAATCTCATTTTAATAATGTAGAATATGACCAAAGAACTGTATTTGAATGCATATGTAGCATAACAAGGTATAAAGAAAGGAATATGAGTGAATTACAGAAACATGTATACAGTACGTGAATGGTAATGTGCATTAGGATTATAGGAAGAGAAGAGTGAGGGCAAAGAAGAGAAAAAAGATAAGGATGAAGCAGGTAGAGAGAAAGCTTTACTTAGAAAATATGCATATATATAATTTCATTTATGCAAAATTATGTGGCAGCATATAAATGAAGCAAATAAGATATATTATAAACAATAAAAGCAAAAATCTCTCAGTGCTGACCTAATGTTCATTTTGTATACAAACCTAAAATGGAACTAGTTGAATGACCAAGTAGTAGTGCAGCAGGTTTTCCACTTTCATTCTATCATTTTAAAAGTATTATATTTATAATTCAAATCATTAAAGCCAATTTTAAAGGGGAAAGGGAAATACGATTATGTTAAATGAGGTAGATGAAAAGTACAGTTATTATTTATTTCTTTGATAGAAGTATGAAACATTGTTATAAAACCAAATATGAAGGCAAGAATCTATAGCTAAGGGATTGTTTTTGTTCAAGTTAGCTATATAATTTGACCCAATATTTTTTCTAGTGTAATTATTTTTGCACCCATTGAAATTTAGATACTAATTTAAAAAATTGCTCCATTCTTGAGATTGAAGTCTATGGCCTTACTTCAATTAACTACATTCTTAAGTGTCAGCATGGTTCATTTTTCTTCAAAGGACTACTACCCACTGTACACTGTTTGTACACATCCACACAGAATGAGTAAGCATTTCAAAAGACAAAAGGAATAGTAATAGTAGGTAAAATATAAAGAAGTCAGGTAAAATATAAAATAAATTTTGAAGCTGACTCTTTTTAAGGAAGTATCTTAATACTCAAAATAGAAACATCGAATTCTACTAGTCAAACCTTTTCCATGATGGCCTTTGTTACTGGGTTGTATGGTGCATATAAAATCTTTCCCAACAACATTGGTTTTAAGAAAGCCCAAATCACAGGTCCAGCAGGCATGTTAATGATGTCTTTATAAAGGGAGAAGCAAAATGGCGCTGGAAGGATAAAGTGTGAAAAAAATTATGTAGTAAGGATATTATAGATCTCTTTCCTCATGGTAAACTAACACAGATGATCATCATAACTCAAAACATATGACTTACCACTTCCTATATTGTTAACATTTGTGAGGCATCTGGTGTCACAGAATCCATAGTAAGATATTTTTTAAGGTGAGAAGGTTTAACCCAAGAAGCAATCCCAGAATAAATGAGGGAATTTTGCCAAGAGCAGACATAAAGATTGAAAATCACATTTCAGAATTGCTTCCAGCAGATCCATTTCACCAACATTTAATGTTCTAAAAATACACAAAAACCCACTAGTGGGATAGTTTTATATATTTAAAAACTGCCTAATAAATGTTTGTTGAATAAATAGAAAGATGAGTGAATGAGTCAATCCAATTGCTATACTAAGTATCCATATATCATTTGGAAGAGCTCCACTGAGCATATTTTTCATCTCAAAGTTTATAGATCAAGTAAACAGTTTGATGTGCAATGAAATGTTTATAGTTCTGTTGTATTCATGCAGCTCTACCAAATATAATATAAATTTCTAATGGTAGAAAGTTGAAAAGGGGCTGGGGATTTAGCTCAGTGGCAAAGCGCCTGCCTAGCAAGAGCAAGGTCGTGAGTTTGACTCCTAGTACCAGAAGAAAAACAAAAACAAAAAAATAAAATGAAAGTTGAAAAAAACTGACCCAAACAAAAGTAAGGCAAGTTTTTGTGTAATCTCCTAGCAAGGAAGGGATAATTGAGATTGACAAATTCTAAAGTACAAGTATGTGCTACATAGGGACATTTTGGCCAATGACACAACCACATGTATTACAATGGTCCTGAAAGATCATGTTGCTCAGTGATGTATGAAACATACATTTTAGTGTATGAAACATCTGTGATATTTGCACAGCGATGAAATCACCTAACAATGCATTTTTCAGAATATACCCCTAGTATCACATGATTCATGTCTGTATATTGTTGTGATATAGAGGATAGGTTTTACAACAGATTGCCTGGGTTCATATAACAGCTCTGATATTTCCAAGTTGAATGACCTTGGTCAGGGTGCCTAGTCTCTTTCCCTCTTACTAAGATGGAACATAGTAGTACTGACCTCATAGGACTGCTGAGAAGAGAACACATTAATATACGTAACATGCTTGACATGTGACAAAGTACGTTGTAATTATTTTCTCTTTTAGTTCTTGGGAAAAATTAACAATTATTTATCAAGAAAAGTTCAGACAAAGTATGAAAAACTAAGACAATGTTTTTAATTGTCAAAAAGGAAAGGAAGAAAGAGAAAAACAAAATACACATTTATACACAAGATGGGTAACTAGTTATACAGCTCGTTTCTCCTAGTTCATAGAAGAAGAAAGGTTTGTGCTAACATTGTTTGGACAAGATATCATGCCTATATCTTGTACTCTGAATAACTACTATGAAGACAACAATACACAATATATTAATTTTTGTAACTCTCCTACTAACTTGTTTGGAAACTCTATTTGATTGTTATGTTTTTTTCTCTTTAAAATGAAAATTAAGCCAGGCATGGCGGTGTATGCCTGTAATCCCAGCACTCAGGAAGCTGAGGCAGGAGGATCGTTGTGAGTTCAAGACCAGCCTGGGCTGCAAAGTCAGCTCAAGGCCAGCCTGAATTGCATAGTGAGACCCTGTCTCACAAAAATTAAAAAAATAAAAAAAAATAAAAATTAAAGGGCCAGGGATATGGCTCAGTGGCACAGTTTCTGCCTGGCAAGGGCAAGGTCCTGAGTTCAATTCCTGATACAAAAAAGAAAAAAATTAAAAGACATAAATAAAGAAAAAGAATCTGCCTATTTTAAAGTATACTCACTGGTATGTAAGGGAATTCCATACTTCGCAGCAACTTGCTTTTTACTTAATTTATAGGTCAAAAAATCCTTGGTGTGATTGCCTGTTGGTTTCTGGGACGAGGGCAGCATAGCAGTTAAATATTCAGTTCTAATTCCTTGTGAACACAGTGCTTTGGAGATAGTACTGAATGATCCTTGGGGTGTGCTCATTCTGTTGCTTCTGTACATTGCCTGTGAGACAAAAATCTGAGGTTTATTAACATGACATGTATTTTAGATACTGCTGAAAACAAATGGAGATAAAATATGATAATGCCTGGAGTATCCTATTTTCCATAATTCTTTTAAAACATGTATCTCGAATGTAAATACAGAATGATAAATTCCACCAATTTAAATGGCAGGAATTGTTGCCAGAATAAAAGAGTTTTCTTCCAGGTGATTTCTTTCAATGTGCTCAATTGTTAGTTGAATACATTAGAGCTAATCTTAAATAAAACTTAGGATGACAGAAAGAGTTGTTTAACCAGAACACTGCTTGGTGCCTTTTCTACCTGTGTTAATGGAGTACTTCTGGAGAAGTGCATTTGTTTCAGGGATCTCATTTTGTCTAGCAATGGATGTGTGCCTGAAGCCATCTGATTGAGAATCTCTTTCAGCCTTCGGAAGAGTTCGATCATCTTTTCTACTGGCTTTTGATCTTTCCTAGGGAAAAACACCTAACAGAAACAGAATGAAAAATAAATGATTCATGTGGAGCAACTGGAAACCTTGTGCACTGTTGGTAAGAATGATAAAGGTACAGCCACTTTAGGAAACATTTTGAAAGTTAATGAAATAGTTAAACAAATTTACCAGTCATTCCACCCTTAGGTGTTTACCCAAGAGAAGTGAAAATATTAGTCCACATAAAGATTTTGCATGTGAATATTCATATCAGCATTATTAACAAAAGACAAAATATATACCTTCAAAATCAAATATCATTTATCCTCAAAATAGATAAAATATATATCCTCAAAGTAGAATATTATTTGGCAGTATTAAAAAATGAGATGCTGATGTTACAACATGTATGAAAAAAAAAACATTATACTGAGTGAAAGAAGCCACACATAAAGACCATATATTGCATAATTAATTCAATTTATATGAAATGTCTAAAGGAAATAAATCTTTAGTGCCAGAATTAGAGGTTGCCTGGGGTAGAAACTGGCAAGAGAAGTAACTGCAAATGAACAAGAAGTTTCTTTTCTGAGTGATAGAAATGTTCTAAAATTAGATCTTTGTAATAACAGCATAATTTTATACATGTACTAAGAAAATCATCATGTTGCAACAGTAAAAACAAATCTGATTAAGAAATGGACAAATGACCAGAACAGACATTTCTCAGAACATACACAAATAACCAACAAGTAAATGAAAAAAAAAAATGTTCAATAGGGAAATGCAAATCAAAATCACAGTGAGATATAATCTCAACCTAGCTAGAATGACTTTGTCAAAAAGACAAGAAAAAGTGCTGGTGAGGATGCAGAGAAAGAAGTCCCATACATTATTGTGGGAATATACATTAGTATAGCATGGTGGCACATGCCTACAATCCCAGCACTTGAGAGGTTGAGGCAGGAGGATCGCCATGAGTTTGAGACCAATCTGAGCTACGTAAATAGACCTTGTCTCAAAAAACCATAGGGATTGGGTAAAGGGAAGAAAGTAAAAAGGGAAGAAAGGAAGAAAAGAAAGAAAGAAAGTCACTGCAGAACACAGCATGGAGCACTCCCAAAAACCTATAAATAAAGCAACCATATGATCTAACAGTCTAACTCCTGGATATATATCCCAAAGAAATTAAATTAGTAGCATGAAGAGACATCTGACTTGCATATTTATTGTTGTGATATTCATAATACTCAAGGTATAGATTGAATGTATGTGTCCACTGATGGATGAATGGATAAAGAAAACATGGTGTACACACACTGTTGGGTATTATATAGGCATGAAAAGAATGAGATTCTCTCATTTGCAGTAACATGGATGGAAGTAGAAGACAGTATGTCAGGTGAAACAAAGCAGGCATGAAAAATACCAAATATTTTCACTCAATGTGGAGGCAAAAAGTTGGCCTCAGAAATAGTGGTTACAGAGTCTGAAAAGGCTGTGTGGGAAGAGATGAGGAAGAGAAGATTATTAATGGGTACAGGGTGCAGCTGGATAGGGGGAATAAGGTCTTATGTTCTATAGTACAGTAGGCAACTATGGTTGACAACAATTCATTGAATATTTCAAAATAGCTAGTAGACAGGATGCCCCGAACACAAAGGAATGATAGATGTCTAAGGTGATGAAGATGCCAGTTACATTGATCTGTTCATGGTACAGTGTACTGCATTGAAATACGCCTCATACATCTGTACACGTATCATGTGTCAACTAAAAATTAAAAATATTTTTAAAATTAAATGGTTCACTTAAAATGAGTGAATTGTGCAGTATATAAATTATACCTCAAAAGCTTACAAGAGTAAGTGATTTTAGAAGTCAGGAAGGCAACTGTCAGGTACATAAGGTTTCATGTCTGAGTATCCTTGTACCCTAGTATACAGTGTTCCTAAACATCAGATAAAATCTGTAAAAAAGTTCAGTGATTTACTAAGTGTAGTGATTTTAATCCTCTAATGCTTATCTGCTTCAGGAAAAAAAATCATTGAACTACCTTAACGTTTTAAGGTAATTTCGCACTTTTATTCATTCATTAATTTAACAAGCATTAACTGAGTGCCTGCTGTCGTGCCAGCCCTGGGTGAGGTAATGTGTACAGTGGTCCACAAGTCGGTATCATCCCTGTGCTCAGGGAAGGAGCTCTGTTTTAATAGGGAAACAGAGACCAAAAAAGACTGAGAATATGAAGAGATAAGTACAGTTTAAGTAAGTGTGATACAGAGGTATGCAGTGGCATGATATTCAGTCTTAAAAATAAAATTCTACAGTTTGCTACAACAAAGACAAACCTGGAGAACATTATGCTAAAGGAACTAAGCCAGGTAGAGAAGAATGAACATTATATGACCTACCTTCTAAAAAAGTTAGACTTATAGAAGCAGAAGAGTGGCTACTACAGACTTGGAGGAGGAGATGGAGAAAAGATATACTTCAGCGAAGAGGTATAGAGTTCAACTGGACAAGAGGAATACATTTCAGAGATCTATTGCCCAGCATGTGGCCATTAATAATGTATGCTTCAAAAGTGCTGAAAGGGTAGATTTTAGATATTCACCACCCTCCATAAAGTGATAAGTAGGTGAGGTGACGGTATTAATTGTCTTAAATTTCTAATATGCACAATAATCACTTTTTGTGTGCCCTAAATAGTGTTATTTTTGAATTAAATATAGAGTAAAGGAAACAAGTACAAATAAACCAGAAAAGCATAGCACAATCGTAGAAGGTCTTGTCAAGGAGGAATCCTAGAAGGTTAGAAAAATATACCACTGGGAAAATAAGAAGAGGAAGGGCACAAGAAGAGGTGGAAAGGAGTGTGCGGTCTCTAAGGAGTAAAAGCTCTTGCGATGTCCAAGGGAGTGAAAGACCATCATTGCAAGACCAGGGTTCAGGAGAGACAGCCTTATATTTTTTTTACTTGCTGGTGAGCTGGATCCTGGCAGATAGATAGGTTTGTCCAGGCATTGTTCTTCGCATCTGAAATATTTCTGTGAACAAAGGACCACTTACAGAATTTATGTCCTATCAGTGGTCCATAAAATAAGTTAAACAATGAAAATTAAACAAAATAATTTTTTGAAAGGTAACAAAAAGCAAATAGAGCAGAGAAACATTTGCAAGGTTGGGATTTCTGTAGGGAGGTTTTGTTGTATCTTAAGATCAGCAGTCAAAGTTGGCTTTGTTGAGAAAGTCAGTGCAGAGCAAAGCTCAGTAGCAAAGCTTTGGTCCATGGGGCCAGGCAGTAGCCAAGTAGGGATTGATATCTTATAGACAGAAAGCGATGTTCAGATCATGGGGCCTTCGTAGGACTCAGAGGGCTTAACACAGTGAAAAGTCATTGGAAATTTTAAGCAGAGAGCTGATGTAATGTGACTTAAATTTACAAGGATCACTCTTGCTGTTTGGGGATTGTAGGGATGGGAGCGGAAAATCGAACGCAGGGGCAGGGGCCAGTTAGACAGCCTTGGCTCTGTACAGCTGACTCAGTGCAGAAGGAAAACATTTCCACTCCCTTGGCTATAACATTCAGTAATGTTTAATAGCCTTGTTAATCATGGGTTTTTTCTTCTTTAAAGAGAAAAAATATCTTTCCGTATTTTTAAGAACATGCAAATATTTTTGATGCAAGTATAGATTTGGATGATCATAAGAGTTTAATTTTCTCATTTATATTTTTCTTTCAGTTACTTACTAAATAAGTACTTACAGAGCAACTGTGTAGTGCAATGGAGTAATTACTGATTTCCCTGAGCCCTAATGATGACCATCTATTTTGTTCTGGATAAGTAATGTTAGCCTGCATGTCTATTGCAAAAAAATCCAGTTTTTTGAGAACACTGAAAAAATTCAATTTATTTTTCCTTTAAAGAAAACTTTTCTCTTGTGTTAATTTTATCTTACCAAATTAATGCCTATGCAGTATAAAAATGATAATAATATTTGTATTTCATGTCTTAGTAATAATAATATATATATATATAAATTTTAATTTCTGGTCTTGAATACAAAATCTGACAGTTAATAAGGCAGTAATATAATTTTTAATCTATAAAGTGTGCACATTTGCAATATATGATCTCTACTATAGGTCTCATTTGGTTGCAAAATAATGCCATAATTCTAAAGGCTGTACAAATGGATCTGACCCCTCATGGTATTAGAAGCATGTATGTGTAATTAAATACTTTTATACAGAACCATGAGTCAAATACAGCCCACCAAGAGCAACTTGCCTTGTAGGTGAAGTTGTAAACATCCAAGTAGTGCAGAAGAGTGAGTCCAATGAGGTAAGACTGATGAGACCTCTCTGAGAGAGGCAGGCTGCAGAACTCCTTCATCGTGTCCTCCAGTTTGGGACTGGTGCTATTAGCATCACAAGAATGCAGCCAGAACACCCGAGAAATAATCTGCAGAATAGGAGAAAAATAGTTTCTCTGTGAGTCATTTGATTACTATCTGTCCACTTTGAGAAGGTTTTTGTGTCATTTATATTTTAAAATACAACATTAAGAATCAAGTAACTGGAGCCGAAAAGCGCCCAAAGAGCCAGGTAGGCCGCACCCAATCCCGGAGGCCAGGACGCGAGAACAAAGACCCTGGTGACACTGCAGGCTGAGTTTCTAGGCGATGGGAGGCCCAGGGGACGGGCGGGGCGAGCAGGCCCTCGGAGCCGGCCGAGCAGGCTCCCCCAGCCCCCCGCGCCTTGCGCC